ACTGAAGGCCTTTGCAGAGATTGACAGTGGAGGGAGCAACCGAGACATCTGCATTTGGCCACATAGGATTGTGCATGTGGTGCTCTGAATTGGCTTTGGTTCACACACTCCGGGTCTTCCTACGTCATCTGTGGCTGCTGTTGCTCAGAAGAGCTGGCAAGACTTGTTCTGGCTAGTCTCTCCGGATCTTGTCATCGGAAAGTTCTCTCGACTCTCCGCTCAGGATGACTCTTCCTGTTTCTTTTTCCAAAGCTGCCTGCATTTATATGCCTCAAAATGGAGTAGGACTTCTCGGTGTAAGCGGCAGGTGAAGCTGGAATGTGGTGTTTTTAACCCTTCATGGTGAATCGATGTTTTTCTTTCTCGAGGAACACAACCAAGTCTGTAGTGCCTGACCAATTTGGAGGGTTCTGTAACTCTTCCCAAATGCCTGCCTTTTGTCAGTTGCAAAGGTTGTGACACCAGAAAATAGTGCGTTGCGAGCCGTTGTTAACTGGGCACTCAGATGTGGAATTGCACGATGGAAGTAGTGATAGTTCAGGGCTTCACATCACAGGGTTAATTTTGAAAAATGGGTTTGGAGAGGCATTTCTTAACGTCTGCAGAGAGCAAACCAAAACACGTGAATTTGAGGGTCCCTTGTACCATTATCACACCCGGCCAAGGAACAGTTCTAAAAATAAAAGTAGGGCAACTATAGAATTGGAGTAATAAGAGAAAAATAATGTTAACTTGATAGAATACATTTTAAATATCTTGTCAGATCTGAAGCAGGGTGGGGCGGGAAGTACTGAAAAGGCTAATATTCTGCCGCTCACCCACCCCTCTTCAGACACTGCAGTGTTTCTTTGAGAACTGCAAATGATTTTCCTGTCTATTAGCTTCCTGAAAGCCCAGCTTTGCCTGCCTTAAGAATTTAATGCGCATACATTTACTTTTATGGCTGATTGAGAAGATTAAATCTCACCTAGGACGGTACTAAAGTCAACCGGAGCAGGGGGTTGGACTAGAAGATCTCCAAGGTCCCTTCCAACTCTGTTACTCTGATCAGTATGGAATGGATCTTCCTCCTCTGACGGACAGCGAGTCGAAGGTCCAGAAGACTTCAAACTGGTGGCCCCGGCTATAATTTTTGCCTGTCACGAATGCCTGGGCGCTGGGTGGGATCAAGGGCATTTGAGCTGGACTAACAGATTTTTAAGCCCTTTTGAGGCCACTAAAATAAAAAGGGAAGGAAATTCAACAAAAGGTTCTAGCCCATAAGCGAAGGAAAATGTTAGCGGACTAATGTATTAAATACAGGCCTTTAGGGTGGAAACCACATAAATTTGTGGTAGCCTACTATTCTGCAACCATTCCTAGCAAGCACAGGTCATCCTCAACTCAGGAGCATAACGGAGCCCAAAATTTCTGTTGCTAAGTGAGACAGTTCCCCCCCCCCCATTTTATAACCTTTCTAAACACAGTTAAGTTAGTCATACGGTTATAAAGTGGATCGACCTTGCCCATGGACTTCGCTTGCCAGAAGGGGCTCGCAGGACCCTGCAAAGGTCATCAATACGAGTTCGGTTGCCAAACATCCCAAGTTTGATCGTGTGACCATGGAGATGCTGCAACGGTTCTATGTCACTTTTTTTTTGAGTGCCGCTGTAAACTTCGAATGGTCACTAAAGCAAACGTTTATAAGCCAAGGACTACCTGAATAGAAGGCCTCCGAAAGGAGATTGCAGGTGGATCAAACGGTCCCGATTTAAATTACTTACATCATGGTTTATGAGCCAGTCTGGCCAATACTTGAGCGTGTTTTTAAAAACGTGAGCTGAAGATTGAGATTTCATGGTAGAATCGTTCTAGCTGGCTTCGGCAGGGGCTACTTCGGTTTAAATCCTTTGTTTATGTTAAATTTGTTTCCAGAGGAAGAACACTTCTCTACACCTCTTCAACAGGTCCTTCTGCTCTTCCCTCTCTGACCTTTGGAAGCATGACGTGGAAAGCCTGCATTGTTCCTCGAGTTGGCTGCCATGGTGTCTCCATCTGGGTGTGGCATTTTTAATAAAGGGTTGCGAAACTCAGTGTTGCACTGGCTCTGTTGTACCGAGAGCCATTGGGTAAAAATTTGCCCGTGGCAATTTATTATTATTATTATTTTGGGTGGTGGTTAATTACTGAGTGCCCTCTGGTTAACGCAGGAGTGACCTTGTTCCCTTTTAAGACCTGTGGACTTCCATCTCCCAGAATTCCCCAGACAGCCATGGAATTCTGGGAGTTGAAGTCCGTAGGTCTTAAAAGTGGCCAAGCTTGGACACCTTGATCTAGGGAGATACAGATGCTTGGAGCTTCAAGGCCTAATGAAAACGGGATCTTCGCAAGGCCCAGCCACTGCCCTCTGGGATAAAGTGGGGAGGGGGAGAGAGAGAGAGAGCCTTTTCTGGCAATTTGCCGACTTAATCGGGCCAGCCCTCCTTGTTTTTCCGTCTGCCGTTCTTAAGGCACACCTCTGTGGTTATTTTTCTCTGTTGGAAGGAACACTTGTTGTCTCCTCATTTGCAGGGCTCCAGCTTCTAACAGATGCCATGTGAGGGGAGTGTGTTCTCGTCAGACCACAGCAGTGGATTTAGAGGGCTGTTCTTCTGTTTAAAAGGGCGAATTATAGTTTTTCCTCTTATAAGGGGTTGATTGTAACAAAAGACGAATAGCATGCTAGCATTGAATAGCAGTTGGAAAGGAACTTGGAGGTCTTCTTGTCTAATTTTTGAGCAGGAGATCCTATACTATTCCAGGCAAATGGCTGTCCAGTCTCTTCTTAAAAGCCTCCGTTGATGGAGCACCCACAGTTTCTGGTGGCAAGTCATTCCACCGGTGAATTCTTCTCACTGTCAGGAAATTTCTTCTTATTTTCTGGTTGCTTCTCTCCTTGATTAGTTTCCATCTGTTGCTTCTGTCCTGCCTTCTGGTGCTTTGGAGAATAGATTGAGCCTCCTCTTATTTGTGGCAGCCCCTCAAATATTGGAACCCTGCTATCATGTCCCCCCCTAAGTCCTTCTTTTCACTAGACATACCCCAAAACTTGGGGGTCAGGAGCGATCTATAGTATATCCTGCCTTGACTCATTCATGACTGAGCAAATACATTTGTTAATTCAATTTCTATCTGTTCCAGAACTAAGATTTGGGAGAATTACCCACTGGATTATTTTGCAGGTTATTCGTCCCTTTTTCTGGTGATCCAGGAAGGAGGGGAAGTTGGTTCTCTGAAAGTGTTCATACCACCTTTCGAGCCTCTCTGGAGGTTGTGTGGCATCAAGTAACCTCCCTGGTGTAATATGGTGTACTTCTTGGTGTCAGATATCAGGAAGGTACACGATGCACTTAGAATATTGCAAGTAATGAGGCTGTGATTACTCAGATTTTTAATAGTTGCAAATATATACAGGCTGAGATGCGTTTGTGTAAATTTGAATAAATTTGAGCAACAATCTAGATCTGATGTCGTGGTCCAACACCCGAATCACACCGTTTCACATCTCTATAAGTGGTCTTGCAAAAGTGGTCTTCAGTTTCCCACACTTGTTCCATGGGGTGGGGAAATGCAGTTATTTGGTATCACCATTTTGGAGATGGGTTACTTCTCAAGAGCTACTTTTCAGGTCTTGGCTCTTTTGGCAGCCCCCGTAAAGGTGCTATCCATGTCTGACTGCCCTTAGCATTTCAAGATCCAGCTAAAATTGGCTAGATGTGGCTCCTTAGCTGGATGGGTCTGGTAGTAAAATAAAATGGTTTAAAAACACAAACTGTTAATTTGGTCAATGTTTTGCAATGCGTTGCCTAGCTCTTGAAATGAAATTGTACACATTTTTGTATTAGGTTGCTACACACAACACTATATTAATTTGGTTAGTATTAATAGTGTATTTAGTGGTTACTATTTAAACCAAAACAATCTTTTGCAGAGAGTAACTGTTTGCCAAGCTTTTGGAGTTTAAATCTGATATTTATATATCAGATATATTTGGGTAGCACTTGGTTAGGGAATTGAGTTTTTGCTCCGCTTTTGTATTGGGGCTAATTTGCTGCTCACTTAGTGGACCTTCACCTGGAGTTTTATTGGGAAAATGTTTTAGACCCAAAGACCTAGCTTGTAAGATTAAAATTGGGTATTACAGTAGGGTGGTAGGGAATTGCAAAGCTTCGCTCAGTCATGTTTTGTGCATCTTAAACAGACTACAGCTTAAGGAAAGATTTGTGACTTGTAGGGTGTGGAGGGATGAGTTCACGGCAGCCACTAAAAACTTGTCTCCTAAATCTTGTAATGTTTCCAGCAAATGTTACAGCAACTTTCAGTTTCTTTGCAAGTTGAGAACAAAGAAAGCTTGGAACAGGTTCATCATTGGCTTGCCGAGGAGACACGCTATTTGATAACTAACTTGGTTATCTATTTGATAACTAACTTAGCTCTGCTCTCCATCCGGTGGATATCTGGCTACAAAAGCAAGTCTTTTTAGGTGCCAAACCTGGCAGAGGCTAAGGAGGAAATTGTGTGATGTCGCCAAAACTTTTTCATGGAGGATAAAAGCAGGTATAGTAATTCTGAGGCTATGTTCCTTATTTGGTGGATGTTCCCTGCCCAGCGATGTTTGGCAATTTAATGTAACAGTCCTCAAAGATTAGCCGCGATTCAAAGGCTCTTTGTAGCCATTCACTTAAATTAAACCTGTTGGAAGGAGATCTGAAAGATGCTGCTGCCAACCCTTGAAATGGCAGAAAAGGAGGGGGGTAGGCCACATTGCCTTCTCAGTACAGTGGGTCTGGGGGGGCCGGGGGGGGGGGCAGCCTGGAATTGAAATCCTTCAGGCTCCTTCAGTGCTTACCTGAATGGAATTGTTCCTCGCTCACTTACATTCCTGCACCGCGCCTGCTCAATAAAGTAATAATAGCGACTTGTTTGGAAGCCCTTTTCGCTTGGCACTCAGAAAGTAAACGTGGCCTTGGCTCGTCCTTTAGGCTGGATGGAAGGAGAACCACGCCACTTTCATGAACGAACTGAAAAACCTGCAAGCATCCGGGTTGACCACCCTTGGCCAGGCTCTGCGATCTTCCTTTGACCTGCTGAACCTCAACAGATTAGTCTCTGGAATAGACAACTATGGGCAGGTAATGGGATGCTATCTTTGAGTTTCCCTGGCTTCGTCATCCGAAGGAGGTTTAGAGCTCTTTCGTAAAAGGGGCCAGATAAGGCTTAAAATAAATTCAACGGGCCCGTTTGGGAAACTCCTCAACCCTGTCCAGGGGGACTGGACTCTTTCCCTCCCCTCCTAGCCAGAAACCAAAATTCAGTATTTTTGTTCCCCTTTTCTTGGGACGAGGACTCTTCTTGGGGTTAATTTCAGCAGATTGGTTAATTTCAACTGTAAATGCATCACCCTCGATTCTTTGAAGAATTGTTAATTTGGGCATTTTGTTCCTTCCTTTCTGTAGGGGAGGAATCCTTTTTTTTTAGAGCCATCGATTTTAATTACCATCACAGATGGAAACAAGCTGACAAATACTTCTTCTGTTCAAGAGGAGGTAAGATACTTAACTACATTGCTGTGCTCTGAATGTGGCACCTTTGCTGTTAAAATGTTAACGCTTCTGCCGTGTTCCTGTTCTCTTGTAAAGGAATCAGAAACTTATTCAAAATGCAGGATTGTTTGTCTTGTTCACACGGTGCTCTCTCTTTCTGCGATTTTGGTCCCCTTTGCCTGTGGAGTCCTAGCAGACTCTTAGCTAAAACGTTTCTCCTCTTCTTTCTGCAGCTCCATCTGCCTCTGAATTCTCCCCTGCCTGGTAGCGAGCTAACCAAAGAACCGTTTCGCTGGGATCAACGGCTGTTTGCCCTCGTGCTGCGCTTGCCCGGAGCCCCTTCAGTGGAACCTGAGCAGCTGGGGAGCGTTCCCACAGATGAGTCTGCCATCACACAGATGTGCGAAGTCACTGGAGGTAGCCAGCTTTCGCAGTTTACCAGTCTTGGAAATCGTGTGAGATTCTAGCCAGGGCAGACGACGTTGAGCTTTTAGTTGCTTCAAGGGCATCTCTCTTTGTGGGTTGTGCCTTGGCTTTTCTCTCCCCACAATCTCTGATGGCTTTCTGGGAACATTCATGAAGAAGCTTCAAAGCAATAGTCCTCGTTGAATTTATGAAGATGGATTTTATAGTTCCTAATCTAGTAAATCTTGCCCTTCTGAAGGCCTTGTCAAACTTCACTGTGACAAGCTCGGGGAGAAATACAAAATTGGATTGGGTCGAAGGTCCCTGTTAATACTCTTTGATTTTTCTAGAAGCATCATCATGAACATTCAAGACCCTCTTTGTATGAAATGTTGCCCTAGAAATATTTTTCTTTCGAGATGTGATTAAAGAGAGCCATTTCAGAAACATTTCTTATCAAATTAAAAACCACCTCTACAGCATTCTACTCCCTTATCACTCTATTTTTCCCTTTCCATGCAGAACTTTTTCCAGAACAGGATCAAATAGGAATTAAAATGACCTTCTACTTCAATTTTGAAAGAGTTCCAAGTCCAGTACTTTTAAATGAAATTGTGCAGCCTCCCTCTTCCTACAATTCTTAAGCCTGCAGTACGTTTCTTGTAACTTGCCTGATCTAAAACCTGTCTGTCTCCCTGTTTTCTCTTCCAGGGCGCTCGTATTGTGTTCGGACACAGCGCATGTTGAACCAATGCTTAGAATCCCTTGCTCAGAAGGTTCAGAGTGGTGTGGTCATTAATTTTGAAAAATCGGGACCAGATCCTCCTCACATTGGGGAAGGTAACAATTAAAGCTTTTATGGCTTACTAGGTCTTGGTTGAAGGATCTTTGCTGACTTCAAAAAGGGATCTGGCCATTAAACCCCCAAGACTTTGAACTGACACAAACGATACAAATTAGGGTTTGGGTGGATGCTCCAATTTATTAAATTGAAGTTGCACTTATATTTATAATCTCTACTTTGTTGCATTGTTGCAACATAGTGATAACTGACAATCAAATTCATGCTCCATATTTCTTACTGTGCTGTTTTTTTTTCCTTGGATTTTAGATGGACCGGTGGATGCCACAAGGCCTGTCAATTCCTTCGGTTCTCAGCCATGGCACAGCTGTCATAAACTCATCTATGTGCGGCCAAACCCTAAGACGGGTGTGCCTGTTGGCCATTGGCCAATTCCTGAATCATTTTGGCCTGATCAGAATTCCCCAACGCTGGTATGTAAGATACTCCTAAGGATTCTGGGGCCCTTCGTTGAGGCCACATCCTAACGGTTGTGTTCTTAGCCCAGGCTCTAAGCTCGTCTGAAAGGGCCTAGAGTTGTCCTGCCCTCGGCTCCATTCCCATCTCCTGGAGGTACTACCAACTTGGCTTCCCAATAATTTAAATGTCACCTGTGAAGGACCTTGAACATAATTAAAAACACTGAGTAGCACCAGAGCTATCTTATTTCAAACTGGCCACAGAGGTTTGTTAGGAACCTTGTAAAAAAAAGAACCTGGTAATGACCTCTGAATGTGTTGAATTAAGCTAAAATTGTTAGCCCTAAGTGCTTTTTGGAAGGGGCTGGGACTGAACCTTCCGCGGCCCTCCTGACTTGGCCTGTTATGTCATTTCCAGCCCCCTCGCACTGCGCATCCGGTGGTGAGGTTCTCCTGCATGGATTGCGAACCCATGGTGATTGATAAACTGCCGTTCGACAAGTACGAATTGGAACCGTCGCCTTTAACGCAGTACATCTTGGAACGGAAGTTGTCTCACGTGTGCTGGCAGGTACTTGCACGATCTGTATTTCAGATCCTTAGAACGCCGTGCGGATTTTAAAAAAAGGTTTGGAAATAGCTGAGCCAGCCCCATTGTTCCGGTCCTTCACTGGGTACCCCTGGGTTACCCACAGAGGGACCCCCAGTTCAGTCCTTATTAACTTTTGCTGTAATGGAAGGTTTTGAGGGAGGAGGGACCCCCTCTACCTGCTGCCATTTGGACCAGCCGTACTAATCTGAGCAGGCAGATAGAAGCCTGGCTTGAAATCTCCCACGCAGGCTTCTTGTGATAAGGCATTTCACAGGTAACTCCAAATCGTGTGGAATTGCCTGCCGCTGAGCTATAAGAACGTTAGCGGGTTGGCAGGAAACCTTCATTTTTCTCCCAACAGTAGTTGCCAGGGGAGGAGAGAATGTGTTTTATCTCTCTCTTTTTTTTCTCCTTCTGGTCCCCTGTCTTTTACCTGGTCCCGTAAACACTTCTGCAGTTTCTCCTCTCTCCCTCGTCCAGCCTTATTGGTCACTGTAACATAACTCTCCAGAACGTAGTTTAAAAGAGCCAAAAAAAAAAAAAAGAAAACAAAAGGATTAAAAACCCTCTCTGGGACCCAGAATTCAGGAAAAGCCACATGTGTCTTTCGTGTTAACATGAATGACAAGGGATAATGTGAGAATCGTTTGGCAGAGATTGTGGGCTCCGCTAGGATGAGAGAGCTCCATGGCGGCCTAATCTCAGCCTGATGAAGTGGAGCTTTGATAGGACGGTTTGTTAAATAGGGGAGATCGAGAAAGAAACATCCTCTCTAGGCCACCTTTGTTCTAATATATATCATGTTTCTCCCCCCCCCCCAAATCTGATCCTTTCTGGATACAGAGGAGCACAGTTCTCCTTGCTAGCAGTGGCTACGTTGAGTGGGTGTTTTGGAAGTTACAGTTTAGTGTGTGGTGGGAAAGCTACCAATTCACTGGAGAAAACCAGACCTTTAAATCAAAGACAAGAAGCAGCAAGTCACCTCTTCATAAAACGCGGCGAACTTTTAATCTCACAAGCAGGCAGCCTTTTTACGAGACGATTCGCTCCTCTTTTACAACTTATTCCAATAGGGAACCTCAATGCTCTGTACCTTAACTTTGCCCCCTCTTCCCCTTTGCTCTTCCTCCCTAGGTCTTTGTGAGCAGCAGCGCCAAATACAGCGAGCTCGGACACCCCTTTGGTTATTTAAAGGCCAGCACCAGTCTGACCTGTGTCAATCTCTATGTGATGCCTTACAACTACCCCGTTCTGCTCCCGCTGCTCGGTAAGCGCTGCCCGGCCCGGCCCCCCCACCCGAAGCCTAGGAAGGTCGTCCCGACGTCTGTCTATATTTGTCCGTGCTTGTATGTTGGCCAGCCGTTTTCTTAAACGGGATGGGAACCAAGTGTTGCAAACTGCTACGTTGGGAGAAGAGGCTTTTTACACCCCCCCTCTCCCTTTTTTTCTCTGCAGCAGAGGAGGAGAGCCACCTGCTGCCAGTGCATGTTTGATGCTGCTCACCTCCTAGACTCGTAGCTTCTTCCTTAATTGGAGTAAGGTTCAACCTCCATTCTTTTCCCTCTTTCAGGCTGTGGTGTCTACATTTCTTGCAGCAGCATGTATATAAAGCCCTGTGTTTTTGTTTTCATTTGAGAACTTGGGCTCAGAATTTCCAAGGGTTTGTAATATCGGGGACGCCAAAAAAAAGAAAAGAAAAAAAAAGAAAAGGAAAGGAAAGAACAACCGAGCTTGCTGTTCCCTTCTTTTGCAAGAAATAAGCACCTTAACTCTGGGTGGATTTATTTCACAAAGATTTGTTTTAGCCTGGATCCCGACCTCTTCGGTTGGAAGGAAACCCAGGTTGCCTTGCTGCCTGTTACAGTTTTTGGTTCCGAAAGCAGAATGCCCGGGTAGAAGGAGCCCGTTTCGTTTTCACCCGAGTCCAGGCTCCGTGAATGCCTCTGGATGGCCTCTTAAGTGCCCAGGTATCCTTCCTCCCAATATAAAGCAGGTAGCCTCTTCTCTGGAGTTGCCACAATGATGGTGATGGTGGCGACTCCCACGGATTGTGAAATATTTTGCCTCCTCAAATTTAGAATTGCGGGTCCTTTTTCAGGTACCCGCTGAGCCTCATTGGTTAGCCGTTGCCGAAAAGGATAAAGCTAGCTTCTGACTTGTGAACGCGGTGGGAGGAGACACCTCAGGGGTTGTGTGTGTTCTGCTTTCCTCCGTGTCACTGAGCCCAATTTCAGCTTTTGCCCATTAACTCCAATAACCGTCCTTGTCCTGCCCCGTTTCTAACTCCCCATCTTTGCGGTTCAGAAATGCATGGACTTCCCTGCCTTGGGAGTGGACTTGACAGAGACCCAGCTAGAGCCTCTTAGTGCCATTTTGACATGTTTGACAGCTCTGCCTTTTCCTTTCTCTGACCCCCACTTTGTTTTCACAACCGAAAACAAACGTACGGCTGATTTCTTTTTCAGCATCTCTACCTCGCCTTCACGTGTTCGGTTTTTTTAGGTCTTTTATTTTTCAGTCCAGCTGACTAAATGTTGAACAGCAGGGTGGAGATCCCAGGCTGCATGACTCACAGTCAAGATGTTTGCTCTGTGGTTGGGTAATTTTTGCAAACAAGGGAATGACAAATGGAAGTGTGTATGCCCTGTGCTATTTCTTGCCTTAGTTGAGGAATATATCCAGAAGCACAACTAGAATTACTTACCGATTAAGTCCCGAGTATCTTCCTAAAAATTTTTTTTTTTTATCCCTCTGAGCTCTCTTGTTTCCTTGGAACAAAAGTGTTGCAAAAAATCCAGATGGATCATGGATTAGTATATTTTGGCCTTCCCATTTCAGAAACACTTTCTGCTTATTCTTGTGCCCTAAATTGTGCATTGGGGTATATTTTGGAGAGAGAACTGCTGGTAAATAAGAGATTCTATTCCTCCCTCCTTTTGAGGGGGTATAATTTTACTTGAGATTTCCTGTTGCTTCAGACCTTGCTCTGTCCCTGTAGGTCAAAGAAAACAGGAACTCTTTGCTATTCTCCCTTTGACATATTTTTTTCTAATACATATGTGTGTAGGTGAAGAAACCTACATAATAAATGGCTGTTTTATCCCTAGTGGCTTCCAACTATACATAGATTTGATTTGGCTGCTCCTCAGATTTTGTCTGTTCCTTGCCACTTTTTTTGGTCAATTGTTATATTTGCTATATTAAAAATTGGGAATATTTGCTGCCCTGATTGGCAGAGCTACGAAACAGAGATGTTAAAACAAAGGCTCTTCTAAGTTGTCCTTCCTAGTTCTTGGTTGAAGGCTACAGATTTGCATGAGATGGAGGTCTCGCCTCTGGGGTGATAGTTAGCTGGGTGCAGAGATGATCCTGTCTCCCCAAAGTGACACGTTCCCGATGGCTTGTTTGAGGTCCCTTTTCTATCAGGAAAAAAGTTGAGCGAGAGCTTATCAGGATTCCCATCGGTTACCTAGTTACACACTGTTGCTGCAGTTTATGGAGTGCCCACCCCTCCATTTGCTTCAGCTTCTTGTTGCGATGCAAGGGAACACACTGCACTGAATGCTGAGGAAAAGACCCCGGGCTTCCATTTAAGGCTGTTCGACATGCTTTGAAACTTAATTTTAGACACAAATTTCAAAAGAGCTTTGAAAAAGTGCTGGATTTCAGCCTGTTTCTGTACCGTTTTTTGAAGCAGGCCCCTGGCCTACCTCAGAGGCCTCAAACCGAAGTAACACAATTTTCTCTCTCTCTTCCCCCACCCTCCTCGCCCCCCCTTTGCCTTTGTGTCAAGACACGACTCCTGGTGGCTACCTGGACACACGTCCAACCAATTCCAACATTTTTGGAAGTGGCTTGTCATTTCCCCTTTTCCTTAGAGAGCTGAGAGTGAATGGTCCAAGGGTTTATCTAGTTGTCTCCTGCTTCAGGTGGGATTAGAGTTCAAATTGTCCTGCTCCAGTGACTTCCCACCAAGGCCAAATTGTCTTTTCTTAAAGACGTGTTACTTTTACGTCCTAACCCTGGATGGAGTGGTGGCGAGCGATAGCATTCTGTGTGTCTTTAGAAGCAAAATTATCTTTTTGTCAGTTCCAACGTGGGATTTGATCTTGGAAACCCGCATCCCTTTGGATCTCGGTTCTTAAGGGAAAAAAACTTGTGGCGCAGGAAATAGTTGTGTTACTTTTTTGACCTCCAAAGCGTCGAGGCGCAGGTTTGTTTTTTTTTAAAACTTGGATTGTTTTCTCCTCTTTGCAGATGACCTTTTCAAGTTTCACAAACTTAAGCCAAATCTGAAGTGGCGACAGGCATTGGACAGCTACATAAAAACCATGCCTCCTTACTACTTAGTGGTATGTAGTTTTGTTCTTTTTATGGGCCCCAATGAACCGCTGGCGGATGTTCCTCAAGAGAACATCCTTGTCGCATGTCTTCTGAGTAAAACAGCTTGCATGCCAGGGTTCCGAAGTTCTTAATGCTTGCAATTTAGCACACCCCCTCCTTAAAAAAAAAACACGTTTTGGAATCGTCGCCTAGTATATGGGATTTGGGGGTGTTTATTTTTCAGCCCGCTCCTTCCCTCCTTCTCCCCTTCACCCTTTCTGGGTCCATTAACTTCAGATCTCCGGGCTACTCCTGCTAGTAGTTATAAGCAAGGGAGAGGGTCGCATTTTACCTTGTACCTGGCTGAGCCAGAGGCGGGAAGGAAGCAGATTAAACTAGGTGGGCATTGTGGAAATTTACCTGGATAGCTTGGGCAAGATGCCTCGTTGTGGACTTGCATCATCCCGGCAATCAGGCTCTCCGGTTTCTGTGCTGTAACTGGTGGGGATGCCAGGCTGGTTCCGTGGCCCCAGACACCCACGATGCCTTAAACGACTGGAATGTGCGACTTTGAATCCATGCTTCCAAAATAAACATAAAATAAAACATGGCATACGGCAGCACCAACTCTGCGGTGTCTTAATTTCCCATGTACTGATCCGTTGAGACTTTTTATTTTTTTAAAAACAAACAAACAAACCATTTCTTGAAAGAAATAAAAAAAAAAAGATTTGATTCTCTTCTTACTCTTGTGTATTTTGTTTTCCTTATAGCCATTAAAGAAAGCCCTAAGGATGATGGGAGCTCCAAATCTGATATCAGATAATTTAGATTGTGGACTTAGTTACAGTGTTATCTCTTACCTTAAAAAACTCAGCCAACAGGTAGTATCGACAAAACCTTTGAAATTAGAAGTACATTAATTATTATTATTTTTTTAGTGTGTGTTGCTCTAGTTCTATAAATAAATCACCTAAGGAATGTCTTTTCCCCCCCTTGCTATTTTTGAGTTAGGTAAAAGACCTGTTTGCATCTCTTGTTTCAAAAAAAGCGGTGGTTGGGTCCGTAGCACAAGAAAGAGAGGAGGACAAACAATTTTAGGGTAGTTGTTTATTTCTCACCCGACTGTGGTTGTAAATCGTTAGCATTGTTGGTACCTGGAGGCCACATAGGAGCTGTTTTTTTTTTCCTTTTAAAGAAACAGAATCAAACTAGACACATCACAATACTGAGGCTAGTCAGTCAAACAATCCCTTTCTTTGAGTATTGTAAGAAATGCTAAGAAGTACATGTCTTTGGGTTTTATTGAGTTGCATGGGTTGGGGAAAATACCGAACCATTACAACGTGTGGACTTCGACCCCCAGAATTTATCAGCCAGCCTCATTCTGGAAGGAATTCTGGGAGTTCAAATCCACAAGTTGTAAAATTTGCCAAGGGTGGAGACAGACCCCTGCTTTAAAGAATGGTATCAGAAGTATCTTCCTAGTGGGTGGGAAATCTTCCCCTTGAGTAAACCTAACATTGCAAATCAAAACAACATGGCCACAAAGTGACTCCCTTTGCTTTCGAAGCAGGGGTGGGTGAGGTACTGGGCTTGTTAGAAATCTCCTCTTCCCCTTTGCTTGTTTTGAATAAAGGGAGTAATTGGTTAAGAAACTTCTACCACTAGAGAATTGCCCCCAAACCATTCCCCATCCACGCAGATATCTTGAGATATTCAAAGAAGGCCTTCAGGCTCTCAACTTGCTTCCTATAGAGCTTAGGGTATGAAAAGCTGAAAGGTGCAGCTAGATTGAAGTAGCTGAAATTTAGCACGTTTCGTTGGTTTTCTGTGGGATATAATACTGCCCAATACTGGGAGTAACCTCGCCACTAAAGGCTTGAGAAAGTAAGACTTAGGTAGGGTAGACTTAAATTTTGCTGTTTGTCCTGGCATAGCCATGACCTTTGCTAATAGTTACACGAGAAAGCCAGAATGGGTGATGAAACAACCCCTCAAATTCAACATACAGTCTATAAAATACTTGGAAGCTGGATATGGCTGTGTCCTTCCAAAACCCAAACAGTTAATTCTCTAGAAGTCCAGTTTGGGATAATGCCTTATTGATATTCTCATTCTCTTTCATTCTCTCTCCCCCCTCTCCCTCTCTCTCTCTCTCTCTCTCTCTCTCTCTCTCTCTCTCTCTCTCTCTGTCTCTAAATTATACAAATTCTCTTTCGAGTGCATATACTTATGTTGGCCAAAGGGCTGTATGATTTGTCGTTCAGTTGCTTAAACTGGAGCTGTAACCCAAAGGGCAGGAAATCAGGATGTATTTTAGGGGGAATATAGGGGAAAATGTTAGTGTGCCTTTGCGGGTGAGAAGTTTCAACAGAGGTTCTGGGTCAAATTGCTTGCCGTCTTCTTTGAAGTATTGGCCCTTTCTGCACAAGCCTTTAATCCCTTTTGCAGTACAGTAGCTTTTGTGGGACTAATATAAACCCAGGCATACAAGTTTTCAAGCTGCACGCGGAGCCCACGTGGCAAACATGGTCGTTTGCAGCAGAGGCTGTGGGACAGGCCGGCCCTGCCCAATGAAAACCTCTCTGCCATGGTTACATTTCCCCCTGCCTTTACCCGAGGTGCAAAAACTTTCTCCTTTGGCTTACCTGCCGCCCTTTTTGCAGACTTCAAGTCATCCATACGCTAGAATAGCTTTTTTTAAAAAAAACCCCATGGTGTAATTTGAAAGCTTGCATGACCTCGACCAATGATTGCGATGGGTGTTTTAGCAAAATGCTGTGAATCCTTGAGAAAGGACTCGTTTTAAGCAGGCTTTTCTTTTCTTTTTCTTTTTTTAAAAATATTCAAACTCCCTGACACTCGGAAGGCAGGCTTTTTGTCTTTTGATGTGTCGGGCGTTTTGCTTTGTGCTACAAAACGTCGGCAGGACTGTGGGCCGTCCTTAACGGGTGCTGTGATTTTCATTGCAGACGAAAATAGAGTCGGAGCGGATAATCGGGTCGGTGGGTAAGAAACCCCCGCAAGAGACGGGCATTAAAGTGAAGAGTCACTCCAGTGGCCTGTCCCTCATCCAGAGCAGGGATTTCAAGCAGCTGCTTCAAGGGATTTCTGGCGACTCCCCGCTGAGGCTGCCTGAAATGAACGTGAAGGAATTTGCTGGCTTCCAGATAGGGCTCCTGAATAAGGTGTGTCTGGTCCCAGTTCTGAAGGAAGCAAGGCGCCTCCTGACTTGGCCTCTTCTGGCTTTTCAGAAGGGGGTGGGGGGGCAGAAATGACTAAAGCCAACCCTGTTCTTTGCCCAAACCCAGGATCTAAAGCCACAGGCCTACCGCAATGCTTACGACATTCCGCGCCGCAGCCTTTTAGACCAGCTGACCCGGATGAGAACTAACCTGTTGAAAACACACAAGGTCATTCAAGGCCAGGATGAAGGTGAGGATTCCCGTGGAGTTCTGCAAATGCAAGGGGTGAGGGTTTGCAGGCAGCCTTCCTTCGTGGCCTCTTTCCCAACCCCTCGATCACAGCACACAGAAGGCCGCGTTTGCTTGCGAAGGAGGCGCTTTATCTCGGAGCTCAGGCCTTGCTCCTAGGAGTAATTCGGAGAGGTGGCGTTGTGGGTTGTGCAGAGTTTTGAGTTAGAGAACGAGGACGCCTTTTCCTCTTCGTTTGTGGGCTGGTTTCCCTGGAAATGTTTTAATAGTTGCAAATCAAGGGAGGTTTGGAAGTTGCAAATCAAGGGAACTCTTGAAGGACTTCATACCCTTCAGACCAGGGGTGGTATTCTACCAGTTTGGCCCAGTTTAGTCAAGACGGTAGCGCCGATGACTAGTGGAGACCAAACTGGTTCTCTCTGCCACTCTGGTGTTGGGCCCACCCGCCCACCTGGGCTCCCATATTCGCCCTTATTCCCTTTGAAGCGTAAAAACCTTGGAATCCCACCCCTGCTTCCAGGTGCGCTTTCTGTCAGCTAGTCTTGGCCTTGGCCCCGCCTGCATTTATCAGCACCTGGGGAGCCGAGGCTTTTCAAACGCGGGAGGAGAAGTGCCCAAGGCAAAAATGACTCCGGTTCTTTGGCCAATGACGTACCTGGCTCTTGTCTTTCAGATTGCCTTCACAGTGTCCCCGTAGCACAGATGGGGAACTATCAGGAATACCTAAAGATGATGCCTTCTCCTCTTCGAGAAATTGACCCCGACCAGCCCAAAAGGCTTCACACGTTCGGAAACCCTTTCAAGCAGGATAAAAAGGTGGGGGTGAGGGCTCTGCTTACTGGCCAGACCCTGATCTCCATCCCCTTCCTCGCCCCGGGGGAGTCAGGGTCGTTCTTGGCGGGGTTATACTGACGGCGGTTCTTTTCCTCTCAGGGAATGATGATTGACGAAGCGGATGAATTTGTCGCCGGTCCTCAGAACAAAGTCAAACGTCCCGGAGAGCCCAACACACCGGCCTCCCTCAAGAGAAGGCGCAACATGTCCCCATTCTTGAGACGGCCGCAGTCGCCGCCAGTCGTAGCCAACCACGTTGGCGGAAAGGGGTCGCCCTCAGCCGCTGGGCCCCCACCCAACCCCAATACTAAAGCTACACCAGCTTATAAAGGTATAAAGTTGCCTTTAGACCAGACAGGCAGCACCAAAGTACTAAAGAACTAAATAAATGCAGTTGCCCAGATGTCAGAGTTTTGATCCTTTATTCCTTGTGCCCTCCTTGCTGTAACCCTCCCCGAAAGACGTGCGCTGCTCGTACAGAAGTAGACCTTCTGCACTGCAGGGTGCGGACGAGGCAGAGAGAGATGCACTTCCTCGGACCTGCACAAGAGTGTACATATCCGTGTGTTCCGGGTCTTATTTTCTTTCAGGTCCCCAAATAAGCACTAGGGCTTATTTTTGGTGGGGTATCTTTATTTTTTTTCTGCCTGTGTAAGGGAGGCCTGCTTTTTCTGCTTGCTCATAGTGGGGCAGGAGGCCGCATGATGCGTCGCCACCATGAGGCTGGCGGGGGCATGGAGCTGCCCCCCATGCCACACACTGGCTTATCTCAGGGCCTCTGCAGCCAGGCCATCTGCACCCTGACACGTGTCCCATCTCGCAGCCACAGCACCAGCAGTATGCTCGACCTCCTGCTCCATTGCGGCGGTGGGCGTGCAGAAACGGGGCAGCGGCCACCTGGGCTCCTGCTGCACCTGGCTGCTGATGCTGCCACCACGAGGCAGGTGTTGGGGTGTGGATGGCTTGGCTGCGGGGCCCCTGAGGTAAACCGATGTGGGGGGCATGGGACAGCTCCACCACCACACTGCCTCGCCTCATGGCCGCGGCACCGCAAGCAGCCAGACAGAACGGACGGCCAGGCAGTTGCACAGGCTCCAGTAGGGCTTATTTTGTGGGGGTAAGTCTTATATTAGGTGCCTGCATAAAAAACATGCTAGGGCTTATTTTGGGAATAGGTCTTATTTTCAGGGAAACAGGTAAATAACGGAGATACTTTTGAATGTTGTAGGTGTAACGCATTTCCTGAATGAAAAAAGTCTTTGTTTTTATGAGTGTTGGGAAAAAAGTGTGCATCACTGGTCTTTCTTGTGTTCACCAGCAGGTGGCTCACCTAATTCAGGTGTGCTCTGCAGGACAACTGGAGGGAAAGAGACTTACCTGGGTCAGCTTTTCAGGGTGCTGTTCAAACCTACAGAACAGCCTGTCCTAGCAAAGTTGGGTTGGATGTGTTAATTTTGGGATATTTTTCTTCTTTGATCAGCCTGCTATATAGCCTAATGCTGGCCCTGCTTCTCTGGGTGTTGGATACTTGAACCTTTTACTTGGGGCTTAAAAATCTCCGGCTTGGCGGAGTTTTGGCAGACTGATAAACTCTGCAAAGAAGCTGTTTTTATCAAGATATCTTTTCTGCGTAATCGCTGAGTTTTCCCCTCCAGAAATCCTGCTGCAATTAAAACACAGGGAATTGTGACTTAATGATCACAATTGAGCCCAACATTTATGTTGCTAAGTGAGAAATGTGTTAAGTGAGTTTTGCCCCTTCTTACAACTTTCCTTGCCACATTTGTTTGAGTGAATCACTGCGGTTGTTAAATTAGTAACACGCTTGTTAAGTGAATCTGGTTTCCTCATTTGACTTCGCTGGGCAGAAGGTGATCACATAACTCCAGGACACTGCAGCTGTCATAAAAGTGAGATCGTTGTCAAGCACCTAGTCACATGACTATGGGGATGCTGTAACGGTCATAAGTGTGAAGAACGACCCTAGGTCCCTTTTTTCAGTGCCCTTGCAACCGGTCACTAAATGAACTGTTGTAAGTCAAAGACTACCTCTACGTGCAGCATAGAATGTTGTCCCTCTTTGAGTTGCTATGAATTTGGAATTCAAGGGTTCCGATGACGTTTGAAAGGCCTTGTTAAGAGTTTGTGTCCTGTCAGCGTTGTTCCATTTTTGGATGACGATTGTGTGATGGCTTTGTCGCTCTTCCCTCGTCTGAAACTCAGCACCCAGCCTTCTCTTTTACAGATGCAAACAGCAATACGGTTCAAGATGGCAACGGTGAAAAGAAAGCCGAGAATTTCCAGCCGCCGGACAAACCCGGGGATGGACCTTTGGTGCATCTTGTTCCTCCGTCCCCGGCTGCCGTGGTGGACGACGAACTGCCAAACGATATGGACTCTTTGACCGGCGAACTGAACTGTGTTGGGGAAGATGGACTGGACCCCAAGCCTGCGGTCAATTCCCTCGTACGGGGCCCTATAAACTACAGTATGTCCGCCGAAGACCAAAAACTACTGGTGGAGCCAGCATCGGGAACAGTGCCAAATTCAGTGAAAATCACATCCAATATGTTTGAAGGGAACAACGAGGTTATCAAAATCAAGGTTATGAAGGAGGTTCGCAAACCCGGGAGAAGTAAGTGATTGGAAAGACCGAAACTGCATGCAATCTTCCAAGTATGATCTCATAAGGCCTTAGTAAAGGCCACACTTGGAAGACTGCATCCAGTTTGGGTTGCCACGATGTAAAAAAGACGATGGGACTCTGGAAAGAGTGCAGAGAAGAGCAGCCCAGATGATTAGGAGGCTGGAGGATGAAACATACGAAGAACAGTTGCTGGAAGTGGGTAGGGCTAGCTTAATGAAAAGAAGGACCAGGGGTGACATGATAGCAGAGTCTTCCAATATCTCAGGGGCTGCCCCAAAGAAGAGGCAGTCAAGCTCTTCTCCACAGCACTAGAAGGCAGGACAAGAAGCAACAGGTGGAAAGAAGCAACCTAAAACTAAGGAGAAACTTCCAGACAATCAGTCAGTGGAACAACTTGCGCCCTGGAGTTGTGAATGCTCCAACACTGGAGGTTTTCAAGGGGAGAGACTGCTCTGTCTGAAATGGTGCAGGGTCTCCAGCTCGGGCAGTTGGGCTAGAAGACCTCCAAGGTCTCTTCCAACTCTGCTATTCTTCAGGGAGAGGCAGGTACCCTTCAAAACAATGAATCGGGTAGAAACTCACGGGGAATGAGGCCATGGGGGAATTTTACATATCTTGGTTATCGCTGAAGCTCTTCAATATGTCCACTCTCCACCCCTTATAAACCCGTTGACCTAGAAGCAGAGTTGAGGTTCTTCAAGGTGACCCTCTTAAAGACCAGTTTTGGGCATCAACTATTCCTTTTCTGGAATGAGCCTAAGGAGTCTGACTAGCATTGCAAAACATCCATGAACGCACGATATGCTGAAATACCCGTCAAATGGGGGGGAAAAAAATCAGACTGCAGGTAGAGGAAAGAAGGAGAAAGGGTGGGTGGGAGCAGCTTGCCATCCTTAAGGTCTGGAAACTGACAAGGAGACGTGCTGGCTGGGTGGGAATTTTGCTAAGCTGGCTGGTGGCAGAGTTGGAATAAAAAAAAAATTCTGGACGGTCTTCCCCCTCTGAACTAATAACCTCCTTGTCTTTTCTGAAATTGTAGATTATGAAAAAATCTTCTCTCTCCTCGAAGAAATACAAGGCCCTGTAGAGGTTCAAAAATATTTCATTGAATTTGCTATCAAAGAAGCAACAAGGTGTGTATCAAGACAACATGCTAAAGCAAGAAAGGCTTTACTTACTTGCCTGGCTTGTTCACATATTTTGCGAATAATTCAAAATGTGCTGCCTTCTGTGGGGGCTCCCAAGGGCAGGTGGACCTCTTATTATTATTTCCCAAGAGACCAGAACTCTTGGCCGTTGGCGGTTTACATTGTCTCTTTAAGCAACTCTTTAAAGCTCTGTCTGTTCAGAAACACCCTGGAAGAAGAATGCGATGCCCTTAGTAAAACAGCCTCCCTTCTCCTTCTCCTCCTTCTTTTTAGGTTTAAAAAACGGGTCTTAATTCAGCACTTAGAAAGAATACTAGAGGAAATAGAGTTCAGCAGCCTTCCCAACCGAATTAATCATGTCAACAGTAGATAATAATAGCGTGCCGGCCAGAGGAACGGACGGGGTCCAGCCGATGGGAGTTTGCTGTGCCGTGGAGGAACGGAAGAGGACGTGGCAGCCGTGGCCTGCGCCAGCCTGGCAGGCGAGCGGCTTTCCGGTGGGCGTCTCAGAAGAAGCAGGGTGATGTCTGTACGCATTGCGCACCTCTTTGGCCGGACACCTGAGGAATTGGCCGCAGGAGGTGTGTGGCTTCCTCCCTCCCCACCCACCTTCGGAGGGGCTGACCTGGGCCCCGGGCCGGAGACAGACACTCAGTGCCGCCCCCTGGGCCCTGCAGGTGATGAGAATTTAACTCATTTGAACCCCTGGCTGTCAAAAAGACACTTTGGCCGTGGGCCACCGGGGCGAATGGCTCACCTCCTTCCCCCTGTGTTATCTCTGCACTTGTGTCGGAGCGATCCTTTGTCCTAAACAAATAAAAATAAAACAAACACGAAAGGAAAGAGGAGAGGAGGAGGAGGAGGAAAGGCCCTCCGTGGTGGTCGGGCGCCTTGACGCTACGGGCACAAAGGCGACCCTTTCCCCCGCGACAGAGCGGCGAGCCCACCCAGGCCCCAGGGTCAGTTGGATTGACGGGAAAGGCGCTGCTCTTCCTGGGTTGAGAAGACCCCGTAGCGGGTCGGACGGACAGACTGGCTGCTGCTGCTGCTGCTGCTCCCGTGGTGGCCACTATACAACCTACCTCAGCCTTCTTCTTCCTCTCGTTCTTCTTCTTCTTCTTCTTCTTCTTTTGTCTGCAGACGTTCTTGCAAGCACGTCCGAGGCTCCCCAGGTCCAGGCTTCAGTTCTCTTTCATCTTGGTGAGGAGGACGGAGACGCTTCTCGTGGACTTGGCTTTGGGGTGGGGTGGGTGAGGTGGGGGCGCTTCTTAGAAAGAAACTCGGGGGTTTAGGGACAAAAACAAAAAGGCAGGAAAAAAAAAGAAAACCTCCCCCTTCCCCAACCCTTCAAATGAATTTTACTTTTTAAATGTTCATACCAGAAGAAATTATTTTGGACAGTGTTGTTTAACAAGATCCTTAATTTGAGATATCAGATGGCATGTGTGCGTGTGTGTGTGTGTGCGTATAGACTATATATGTATATATATATATACGGAATATATATATATATATATGGAATTTTTTTGAGCACTTGTACATAATAAAAATCATTTTATGATTTTTTTTCTAAGGAGTGCCTAATCTGAAAGTGGGGTGGGTGGGTGTGGGAGTTTTTTACTAGCGTGCCAGCCGTCTAAAAAAATAACCTTGGGAGGGAGGAAAACTCTGCGCCTCGGTGAACTCTTTCCGGTTGAGTGTCGTTGAACTGCTGGCGGTTGCTGGTTCACGGCGGCTTCTTTCTCTTGCCCCGGTGCTCCGTCCACCTGCCTTTGAGGGGGGGGCGGCTTTTGCCCCTTTAGGCTTCATTCAGCCTGTCACAGCCAGCTCCAACTTGGGGTTCCTGAGCCGTTTATTCTGCTCTTGGGGCCAAGAGGTTTGCCGTGGCAGCTGCCGGGAACTCGGTTGCGCTCGCTCCAGAGGTTTCCGCTTTTGCCCGTCGCAGAGGGCTGGGAATTATCACCCCAAACAACCGGACCCAACCCGCTATCCACCCCACTCTTGTCCGGATAAGGAAGGGATCGCACGGGTGGTAGAAGAGGCAGGCTCTGCTGACTTTCCTGAGTGTAACCAGCCTAAGATTATGGGATGCTGTTGCCTGCATCCCTCTTGAGAGCGTGCGGGAGGAAGCTGGATGGCTTCAGTTTTGGAGAGGGAGAATTGCCTTCGCGGCTGCCGTTTGATAGCCAGCATGCACACCTTGCCGCTTGTGCAAAGGAAATGTGCCCGCTCACAGCAGTGAGGATGCAGCGCGCACTTCGCCAACCGCTTCCATGGCCCGGTTCTGAACGGCTCACGGTCCAGTAGGCTGGGGCTTGGGGATTCCTAATTGTAGATCAAGTTTCTTTTCAGCATTGAAGAAGTGTCTGCTTTTGCTCCATTCTCCGATTTTAGCCAAGAGGATAATTTAGAAACGTCATGTCCCCCCCGGGGGAGGGGGGGGAGGTCTAGATATTTAAATTTGCTTGTCACTTCCAGTAGTTCATCGCGGGATAATAGGAATCCAGTGGACGTAGGCATTGCTCGGAACGGAAATTCCATGTTGCATCAGGTGCAAAAGTACCTGACAGTTGCAGGCCAAAAAATAAAAATAAAAAATATATCTTGCCTGCAGAAACTATTGATCATATTGGCAAGGCCCCGTTCCAGCTTTCACTCGAGGCAGAATTTCCCTTTCAGGCCTGCCGGAAGAAAGTAGCACAATGGCCCCCGAGAAAGAGAGAGAGAGTGCTAAAAATAAAAGCCACCTCTGGGGACTTGTGCTCCGTCTCTTGTTTTCCTGCACCAAAGCAGCAGCAGCATCTCAAGGGAGAGGAATGGAAACCTGGCCTGGATTGCAGGAGGTGGAGTCCAAAAGCTCAGAGAGTCACACTTTTCATCCAGCACAGCCAAGAAGCCGTGGATCAAGCAAGGCTGTTTGGGTCTTCGTTTTGGGAAGTGGGCATTTTCAATTTTGCATTCCCCTGAATTAGGCCCGTTGATCCCCTATGCGACCCAATTGTGGGACTGTAATTAAGGGCTTGTTTACAGATGCCAGACAGATAGGAGGTGGCGGTGTCTATGTTGGGATATAACCATTCTGTGCATCAACTAATTTCCCTTTCGGTTGCCTAATGTTTTTCTTAAGGGGTGTAATGAATCCGTTCAGGAGCCCCAAAGGTACTTTCACCCGTCCCTTCGGAGAAATCCATAATCCTTCAGATTAAAGAACCCTTTTTCAGAAGTTGATAACACCAGTAAAACAAAAAGTCTGCAAAAATCATTCTTACACTCTTTTGGAATTATTAGTTCTTTATTATTGGACATTGCAAGACCAAAAAGGGAAAGAACAAAATTTGCACATTTGTAAAATAACCACGGATAGTGAAAGGGAACCTGTCTATTTCTTGCAAGTTTTAGAGACCCGGAAGGTGCTTGAACAAGAGTGCCAAATCCAGAACAAATGCATGAAAAGACCAGAACACTTTGGAGAAAGGCTGCCTCTTAGTAGCAAAATTTGCAAGTTCTTGACAAAACCACCTGGATAAAGAACAAACAAGGACTCCAGCTTGGAACAGCATATACTAAAACAGCAAACACTCCATGGGCATTTTATAGAGCTGTTTTGGGTGTCCCAATCCCTATTAATTGCCCACTTAGTTGCCCTGAATTTTGGTCTGGAGGGTGTTTCTTGGATACAAGACAATTTAAAACCTGCTGGAAGAAAGAATCGCCCAGAAAGGAATGGGGGACAGAATAGCCAACGGGCAGCTACTTTGAGCAGGCTATCTTAACACCAGGATATTGGGAAGAAAATGACCCAACGCTGCCACCCAACTGCCTTATAGGTGTCTGATAAGTTTCACCTAGAAAGAATACAAGGCTACGGGTGGGTTTCATTCAAATGAAGGACCACAACTTTAAACCAATTGGTACCAGTGTCAGGTTTTGAGAGGCCAATATTTACCACGGTCAAGTCTACCGTTCTGATCCTTTGGCCAGAGCAGTGCCAAGATCAAACAACGTTGGGTTTTGCCACATGGTTGTCCTGCCCCGGAGTGGTTGCCATCCAAGGGAAAGATCCTGTCCCACGATCTGTAAAGTGCATGCATTTCATTTCAATCGCGAGCACCCCCGACTTCTCACCCACTTGGAGCCCTGGAGACGCAGGGGGCAATTGATGCTCCTGAAGACGAGACATTCAGCTTCTCTACATCTTGAGCTGCTAATTTTGAAATTGGGTTACATTCTTGTGAAGAAAAAAAAAAAAAAGGTCAAGCTTGGAGCAAACACGTATTGAGCTGAAGGGAACTTCTAGCGCTCTGCCTCCCACCCCCAAATATTACAAGGTGGGTAATTTTGGAAGAAGTCTGGTGATCACAATTAGATTGGGAAAAAAAATGTAGCACAGCGGATAAACCAGTTGAGCGTGTTCAGTTGCTCAAACAGGAACCCTACGGGCAATCTGCCTTTATCCTGTTTTTAAAAGCACCTACGATGAGCGGGAGCCAAATCAAAAGGCACGATCAAAAAAATGAAATCAAGAAATCATTACGAGACACAATCCCAAACTTTGCATGCTGCTAAAGCACTTTCCCCCCCTCCAGCTCAGTCTCCCCCGGCCGCCTGTCACCTTGATGATGATATAAATGAAGAGCTTGACGACAGAAGTGAACGCGTTACAGCTGTCATGATTCAGTCCTGCGTCCTGGTTGGCCTAAGGCCCAGCCATTGCGACTTCTCAAAAAGCATACAGGTTCTCATCATTTCTGAGCATTTCAGGGAACCTGCAGGCAAGGCCTAACTGATAAATCAAGTCCATACCCCTTTGGCAAAATGTTGGCTAAATTCCTACTTGTAAAAGATTAATCTTGACTGGCTCTGCTGGCCAGATACTCCACACAGAGAGCACTAATAAACGAGATGCAGAAATTACCACGCCGTGTCAAGGACTCCGCTGAAAGGAGAGTTGCAGGGAGGGGCAGCAAAGCAGGCAAGCCCCCCCCCCCCCCCCCCGCGCAACCATTTTGCTGTGGGACAAAAGAATGCAACAACATACCCATTTCTGTGCCTCTCTAGTCCACTCAAACCTCCATCTGCATTTGGTAACACAGAGTTTGATAATTCAGAAGTGACTTTAACCACAGTGCTTTAATGAAAGGTAAAATGCATTATTTCACCACGTAATTTTAGCAGTAACTTTCATGGTTTGCCAATTCACAATTTTAGTTGTCGTGACCAGTGTTCAAAAGTCCTTTTAATATATATTTAATATATTCATGTATGTGTGCATGCGCGAGTGCGTATGCACAGGCGCACACACACATTACTATAAAGCCTGGAAGATCAATATAAATACTGCTCCAGAAATTTTTTAAAAAAGTTTATATCCAGCCCCGATATTACAGCTCAGTGTCCTATTTTTAGAATTGTCTATTAAAAAAACTCGTTTAGCGGTGCAGAGGTTCAAGTTTTCGCAACTTCAGTGATGTGCTGGATGACAAAGCATCCTGGCTGGAGGAAGAGTGGACGGTGTCCGGGGACTGGAATAACACTCTGCCCCGGTGATTAAATACATAAAAGGATGGATGGTTCCTTAATGTGTCAAATGTCCTAAAACAAAAAAGAAAACGGGAGAGACTGGAATTAACATTGACTGAGAACAGCTGTTGTAATTGGCAAGCAATCGTTTCAGAGAGGATTTTAGACATTGGATAGAAACAAATGTGGGCACACTTAAATCTTACCTGTCTCTTCTCCTGAAATATAAAACATTCCTGCCATACACCAAGCAGCAGAGGGGGGAAAAAATGGGGGATCGCTGTTAAGCTACAAAATTTGGACCAAGAACCAGAGATGGTGGCTTCTCCGTCGATGGAAGGTTAAGAGGCTGGAGAGCCACGGCTTAATTGGCTTGCTTGCATACTGCAGAGGGCTGGAGCTTACGATCTCTTCCCACTCCACAATCCCACAACTGATTTCCCCATGCCCTCTGTCAGCCGTGACAAGCCCTGACACACCCCGTGCAGAACCGGCCTCGCTTCAAGATTTGGACAAACTCAACTTGTGAGCTGAGGCTTGCTATTAATTGCGATACAGCATGTTATTTCCCCAAACTTCTGCTAGCTGTAATTCCACCCCTAGCTGAGGCCGCCATCGGCCTCAAACTTTCTCCGAAAGGGCCTAAGATGGCAGCGTGTACTTGGCAAATGAGCCTTTTCTTTTTGCTTCATCCGTTCTGAGAACCGAGCTTGTAAATGAAGGCTAAGCCAGGCGGATGGGTTAGTGGAAAAGGGGAGAAAAACGACAGCACGAGTCTCACTCCAAATGTCCTACATTCTATTAATCGGAAGAACAAGAATAGTAATAGAAGTAGCCCTGCGTCCAAGGAAGGCTTTCTGGTTTAAAGTCTCATACCATCCAGTCAAAATGTCACCCTTTTTTGTTAAGTGACCTGTGTTTATTCTTCACCGCCTCTCTCCCACCAAACTGAGCAACCTTTAAGCCAGCTCACTCCTGCTAATAGTCTTTCCCTCCAACACGCACTTCTCACATGTGCCTACTGGATTCCACGGTTAATTTTCTCCCGGCAATAGAGCTCCCATAACCAATTCCCCTGGCAGGGCTATTCTGAGGGAGGGAGAAGTATGAAGAGGAGGCCCCATATGATCCTCCTCTCTCCGAGGAAGATGCGAAGCAGAGCCTTGTATCTCCCCTGGCATTCATGGTTGGCATCTGGTCAACAACACTCCTGTTTTCCCTTTTGAGCTGAAGAGTGAGAGCCCACTCCTACTTGGCCTGAAATAGCATGACAACAACCAATTAGAGTAGTAGTACTCCAGGAAAAAGAAAGGGACATACTTATTTTTTAGCTCTGAAGTAGCATCCATGTCTTTAAACTCTCCTGCAATATGCACAATCCCGTAACAGGTAACTGCGAAGGCCAGCAGAGTTTGGAGAACGATCTATAAACAGACAAAAAACGACAGCTGAGTGTTTTCAGAAAGCCTCTCCACCCGTAATTTGGTTTGTGCCGAGGCTTCTGTATTCAAGGCACTTCTCCTTCTTGAGCTCAAATGTAGCCAGGTTAGAAAAAGGGAAGCACAGTAGACCAAGATCTGCATTGAGACCCCCTTATGCTGTGTGCAAACATGAGAAAAGGTAAAACTCTTTCTTCCTTGCTGCAATTAAGCATTAATTACATAGATTTCTAGGACAAAGGCATCAGAAGGTTTGCAATATGTGAGTACTCCTGATCAGGTCTATATCTATCTATCTATCTATCTATCTATCTATCTATCTATCCATCTAAACGTGAGAAAAAAGCAAGGAGAAAGAATGCAATGAGGGCAGGATCAGTAGGCGGAAGATAACGCCAGCCAAATGCCAGAAGAATCAGGCTGTTTATTCTGGGAATTGAACCAGAGTAAAATACCAACTGGAGGCAACAAGGAATTCCTAGAGGGATGTTTTCAAGAGAGACAAAAGTGCCAAATTTGGATGGTTTTGATTCCTGCCACCGAGACCACATGCTACAATTTGGCTAGCCTACCAAGTGTGCAAAGAAAACCAAGAGCCAGCAGTTCAAGTGCAGCTCAGGCCTTGAGCTCAGTTCACTTCCTCCTTTGCAATTCAACTACAGGGAACGTAACAATGTTCATTTAGTGACTGAAGTTACAACGGCCCCGGAAAAAAAACGGTCATTTTTTCAGACTTATGTCCCCATGATTTACACTGAGATGCTTGACATCTGCTATTTATAACGGTTGCAGCATCTCACGTGATCCCCTTTTGCGACCTTCTGACAAGTGAAGTCCGTGGGGAAGCCAGCTTCACTTAATGACCGTGTTACTAATTTAAGAACCTACAGGGATTCGCTCAACAAACGGGGGCGAGAAAAGTCGTAAGACGGGGCAAAACTCCCTTAACAAATGTCTCATTTAACAACACAAACTGTGGGCTCAACTGCAGTCATAAGTTGAGGACTCTCCCCTTACTCCGGAGTCCAATGTGCCCCTCTGGGGGCCTGCGCCCTAGACGGAAAGCAGGAGGCCACTTACGTCTATAGGCAACGTCTCATCTTCCTTCTCTGTTAGTCTCATATAGGAACGATCTGTGGGGAAACACAAGAAGGCAAAGTTTCCATCTCTTTGTCCCGGCCCCCAAAATGGGACGGAGGGAGGAGCAGGATGGGGAATGCAGTGGGAGAAGCACACTTAAAATACGGGTAGAGGGGTGGAGAGAGAAGTCCTGAAAGCCCAGGACCTTCAGGCAGAATGTCAAGGAAGCCAAGACAGATTGGGTTGCCCCCCCCTCTGCCAGAAATGGTGGAGGGTCTCCTGCTTGGGTGGACTGGGGGTTGGACTAGATGACCTATAAGGTCCCTTCCAACTCTGTTTAATTTCTAATTCATGCCCCCTTTGCAAACAGAATCCCCCTGCAGGGAACAACAACACCCACCCACCCCTCAAATTATCTCTTATTAATATTATCAATATTGAGCGCTGCAATAAGGGAAGCCTCAAGAGGCGCCCCCCCCACCCCCATTTGTCTTCCTGGCCTTATTGGGGGGGAGGGCAGCCCTTCCCTCCCCCCCCCCCCCCCCCCCCGCCCCCCCCCCGCGAGGGACGAGCTTTTACGCCACCCCCGAGGACTACAACTCCCATCACCCTGGGCCGGCTCCCGGGACTACAACTCCCACCCTCCTAGGCACCTCTCCTGCTCGTGAGAAGCCTGCGGGCGGACGCGGGTCCCCGGCTCTTCCTTCCCCTCGGGCCCAACTGCCCCGGGGCCCTCTCCTCCCTTCTGCCCCACGGCGGAGAGGGTGGGGGAGAGGCGGGGGAAGAAGCCCCCTCCCTGCCCCCTTCCCACGCGCGTCACTCACGCTGCGCGGCGGAGAAGGCCGCGTGGGCCAGGGCGAAGAGCCCGAGCCCGACCAGCCCTTTCCAGAGAGAGGCGGCCGCCATCATCCGCCTCTCCTCCTCCTCCTCCTCCCTCAGCCGCCGAGGGCGCCGCGTTGCGCATGCGCGGCTCGGGAGAAGCCCGGGGCGCGAGCGAGAGCCGCCGGAGGAGGAGGAGGAGGGGCCTCCGGCGTCGCACGGCGCGCCGCGATGACGTCGCTCGGTGGGCGGGGCGGTGGAGAGGAGCGTCCCGAAGCCGTGTAGGCGGGGCGGCGGGCGCTCGGCCGGGGATGATGGGCATCGCGGTCCCGCTGAGGCGCTGAACCGGGTCGTGCGGGGGTGGGTGGGACGGAGGGGGTGGCCTCGAAGCGGAGCCATGGCGGCGCTGCTGCTGCTGGTGCTGGGCCTGGATCCGGGCCCCGGGGCGGGTGGGCGTCGTCCGGGCGGCGGCCTGGAGGAAGAGCTGGTGGCCGAGAAGGCGGCGGAGGCCAGTCACCGGCAGGACAGCGCCAACCTGCTGGTCTTCATCCTCCTGCTGACCCTCACCATCCTCACCATCTGGCTCTTCAAGCACCGCCGCGCCCGCTTCCTGCACGAGACCGGGCTGGCCATGATCTATGGTGAGCCGCCCCAGAGCCCATCATCCCCTGCCGCCGGCGCCCCCACCCCTCGCAGGACCCTGCCTGGCTGCCCTCCCCCCCAGCCAAAGCCACCCTGGGATGAACCCCCGTTTGCTGAGTGGGTTGTGTGTCACAGGCGTTGGTGGGGGGGAAATCAGCAAAAAGGGGAAGGGGAGGTTTGGGGTGGGTTCCCCCAGTGACCCCCCCACCTCAGAGAGAAAATTTGGCGGGGGGTCCAGAAGGGGTGGACCCTGCTTAGTTTGGAAAAGGGGGGGCTGAACCCCGACCTGGCATCGCTTTGGGGGTGAAATTGAGCCGGAAAGTGTTTTGCTCCCCATAGAAAAGAGGGGTCCTCAAACTTAACAGATAAGCAGAGTTGGAAGCGACCTTGTAGGTCATCTAGTCCAACCCCCTGCCCAAGTGGGAGACCCTACACCATTTCTGACAGATGGGAGTCCAATCTCTTCTTGAAAGCTTCCAGTGATTATTCTCGCTGTCAGAAAATAACTCCTTATTTCCAGGTTGAATCTCTCCTTGTTTAGTTTCCATCCATTATTCTTTGTCTGGCCTTCAGGTGCTTTAGAAAATAGCTTGACCCCCTCCTCTGTCTGGCAGCCCCTCCAATATTGGAAGGCTGCTCTCCTGTCTCCCCTGGTCCTTCTCTTCCCTAGACTAGCCAGGCCGAGTTCCTGCAACCGTTCATCGTATGTTGTAGTCTGCAGTCCCCTCATCATCCTGGTTGCTCTTCTCTGCACTCTTTCGAGAGCCTCAACATCTTTATTATAGTGTGGTGACCAAAACTGGATGCAGGACTCCAGGTGCGGTCTTACTTGGCCACTTTAAGACTTGTGGGCTTCCCTCTGAGGCAGCAATAATAAGAATGTGCTGAAATGGACAGGCTAAGGATGATATTAAAAGATAAAAGAAGAAATAGAGTACAATAAGATGTGGAACCTTTTGGTGTGTGTGGTTAGAAAGGAGACGCAAAGACGTGGAATCGAAAGCAAAAATGAGAAAGTAATAATGTTGTATATGTGTATACAAATGTATCTATGTGTATATGAGTTAGATTAAAAAACGAGTATAAGTGAATAGAACAAAGAAGTAATTGATATAGCCATAGATTTTTATTAACCAGTGTAAACACCGTTACAGAATCGTTGTAATAAGTAGAAATTGTTTTTTAAATGTTTAAATATTGAATAAATAAATTTATTTTTTAAAAAAACAACTTGTAGACTTCAACTCCCAGAATTCCCCATTCAGCTATGCTGGCTGGGGAATTTTGGGAGTTGAAGTCCACAAGTCTTAAAAGTCGCCAAGTTTGAGGACCCTTGCCAAAGAAGAAAGGGGTCAACTTGGGGCATTAGGGTAGGCTGTACTCATTGTACATATGTTGTGCATTGACAATAAATGATTTGATTTGATTGGCTTGGCTTGGCTGAATAGGAGGGGCTCCCTGGGAGACCCTGATCTGTTAAGGGGTGAATGCTTGATATTTAAAATGCATTGGCTGCCCAACTCCCAGGGGACTTCATAAACCCTGGCACTGTTAAAATCCCCTGATTTAGGGCAAGCATCTTGGATTCCCCCCGCTCCCATAATCCCCAGCCAGCAAGGCCAGGGGGAGTTACAGGTCCAGCGTGGCACCAGCAAGAATCCTCTGAAAAGAAGAACATCCTCCATTCACTGAAAAAGGTGATTTAGGTCGATTTTTCACACAACCCTGGCACCATCCCCATGGTCACATGATCAAAATCCAGACACTTGGCAACTGACTCATATTTATGGCAGTTGCAGGGTCCCGGAGTCACGTGATCAGAATGTTCTTTCTGGGCCAACTCAAAGCTCAAACTGCCCAAGGAGCTGCTGGTTCGGTTCTACAGAGGAATTATTGAATCTGTCATCTGCACCTCTATAACTGTCTGGTTCGGTTCTGCAACCCAACAGCACAGACACAGACTCCTGAGAGTAATTAGGACTGCAGAAGAAACAATTACTACCAACTTGCCTTCCATCAAGGACCTGGATACTGCAGGAGTCAAAAAGAGGGCTGTGAAAATATCTACGGACCCCTCACATCCTGGACATAAACTGTTTCAACTCCTTCCCTCAAAATGACCCTATAGAGCCCTGCACACCAGAACAACTAGATAGTTTTTTCCCGAATTCCATCACTGCTAAACAATTCCCTCCACACTGTCCAACTATTTACAAAGTCTGCACTACTATTCGTATTAATCTTCTCATCACTCCTTATCACCCATCTCCTCCCAATTGTGACTGTAGGACTGTAACTTTGTCACTTTTATCTTTACGATTTATATTGACTGTTTCCTAGTATGATTTGATTGCTTGTTGTACCCTATGACTATCATTAAGTGTTGCACCTGGTGATTCTTGACTCTTGACAAATGTATCTTTTCTTTTATGTACACTGAGAGCATTTGCACCAAGACAAATTCCTTGTGTGTCCAATCACACTTGGCCAATAAAAGAAATATAAAAAGGAATTCTATCAGCTCATGCAACCTTCTGACAAGGTCAGTGGGGAAGCCAGATTCACGTAACAACTGTGTTACTAAACAACGGCAGTGGTTCATTTAGCAAGTGTGGCAAGAAAGGTCGTAAAATGAGGCAATGTTCACTCAATAGATGTCTCATTTAGCAACAGAAAGTTTTGGCTCAATTGAGGTCATAAGTCAAGGACTACCTGAATGCTAGCTAACAAAACTACATTTTAGAGTGTTGTGTGAACTGGATTGCTGTCCTATTGATTAGCTATTTGCATCTAAGAGTCTAGATTAATCTGGCCAAAAAGGTGGTTTTTTCCACCCCCAGCATAGCAGATCCCTGTAATACAGGTACACATCTTGGATTTTTATCTTCAACGTGTCCTGACAAATCTTTTAGAAGTTGCTCAAGAGATCTGCTGCCATTTCTTCTTAGCTGATCTCAGGAAGAGTGTTGGGAAACCTACTGAGCTGAAAAGCTTCAGTGGAAACCCGCCGATTGCTCAACGGACATTAACGGAAAAGTTTCAAGTTTAAATTTATCGGCTGCTCTGTCAGACTGACGGACGAGAATGTGCCTATTTTAAGTGGCTTTGCAGTTGTAGTAATAGATTTTTTTTCTCAATGTTGGGGGGTTGGGTTAGATGATCTCTCAGGATCCTTTATTATATCCTTATGGTCTGATTTGTGCATCATAGTTCCCCTAGGGGCTTGAACCTTCTACACTGTCTTCTCATTGCTGCCATTCTGCCATTTTTTTAAAACAACATTTAGGAAACGGTGCTGGCATGTCGTTCACAAGCAGTGTAATTCTGAGCTATTTTGCTGAGGCCTCGCCTGATTTGAGGGGTTGAATTTATTCCTTTCAGGCACCATTTGATTCTTCTGTTTCACCCCGGTTTTGCTGGAGGAGTTCTTCCCGACGGTCGGTGAAAGGAGGGTGCTAGGAGTGCATAGACCTGAACTCTAAACCTCTCAGGATTGGAACTCCAGCACACCTGAAGTCCTCTGTGTTTCTTGCAGGAGTTCTGGTGGGGGTCATCCTTCGATACGGCATCCACATTCCCAGCGATATCAACAACGTGACTCTGAGCTGCCCGATGCAAACAAGCCCAGCTACTTTGCTGGTCAACCTCAGTGGGAAGTTTTATGAGTACACCCTGAAGGGAGAAATCAGTTCCCACGAACTCAATAATGTTCAAGATAATGAGATGCTGCGGAAGGTAAACTCTTAATGCGTCCCACTTCCACTTTTCCCACCGTTTTAGATCAAACGTTCTAAGAAAACACGTCTGAAATTCCGCCGTAGCTTTGCCCCAGGTTTCTAAAGGAGTCTGGGGGGAAAAACAATATAGTTTTTGAAGGCACCTCTGCTGCTGTTTCTCTGGGCTGGTTGCTGTTCCTCAAAACTTCTCAGCTTTGCCTATTCAAGAAATCCCTTAAGTCTAAATATGAATTGCTGGGATGCAGCTTGCCACTTTGGGTGCGTCTGGCCTTTGGGAGAGGCAAACCGGCACCAAATTGTGTGAGGTCAGCCATTTAATAATTATTCAAAAGTCCTAAAGAGGCAAACTCACCCTAGACCTGTCCTTCCATGGCCAAATAAGAGGTGGTTCCTTCACCTATTCACCAGATCGTGCAAAACGTAATCACCATACTGGTAGTAACATCGGTTGAATCCCATCTCTGGTGTGGGCAGGGGGCATACTACATTATTCTGATGTGTTGTGCATCACAGACTCAGTGACTGCCAACACAGGCTGTACTGTTTCGATTCTGGAAGTTTCCCGGGTGTGAACTCAGCTAATGCCTCCCGTTTGTGCACTTGAAAATTCTGGGGTGCCGAAATGTTGGGGTGAAACAAGACTCTTCAAACTTGGCAGTTCTTGTTTCGAGCGACAATGCGCTTCACTAAACAATTAAGTTTTACTCTGTACCCATTGAAGTTGGGTCTCTTGTGATGCTTTGATTCTCTCTCTTAATACCCTACAGGTAACTTTTGATCCCGAAGTCTTTTTCAACATTTTGCTCCCTCCAATTATATTTTACGCTGGATATAGCTTAAAACGGGTAGGTGTTTGTTCCTTCTAACCCTCTTTCAAATCACCCAGGGTAGCAACAACACTTGTTGAGAAGAACATAAAGCAGGCATCACCCACCTGATCCGTTGTCTTTGAGGACAACTTCAGTCTGTTTTGGATGAAGTCAGCTCATTTTCTCTTGGATTTAACGCCTTAAGATTCTACTTTGCAACAGTTATTGGAACGGGAGGAATAATCTTTTATATAAACAATTTTTCGATCCATTGTACAGGACCTGTACAATGTATGCAAGAGAAAATAAATCCTTGAAGGAAAATCTCTCCTTTGCAATCCAAACCTTGGATAGTATGCTGTGAAATATTATTTTTTCCAGGCCAAATGTGCCCTGATCTTTCCAAAATCAGTCATTTGTAACCAGACACGAAGTGCCTACAGGCGGGGCTGTCTGTCCTAACGTACATTTTTGTCCCCCCATGTTAGAGGAAAAAATGAGTAATTGTATGCTTGTAAAACATCTTAGCTGGAAAGGCATTTTAAGTGCTGGAGAGATAAGCCAAACATATTGTGCTATTATTTGCTCTTTGTATGTTTAGGGAGGGTTCAGTGGGACTTTGAGAAAAAAAAAATTGCTATGTCATTCTAGCTCAATCATTCCTAGCATTTAAAGTAACCAAAGTCTCTCTCTCTCTCTCTCTCTCCCTTTTTTTTTCTTTCTCTTCCAAGCGTCACTTCTTCCGAAACCTTGGATCCATTTTAGCGTATGCGTTTCTTGGAACAGCAATTTCCTGTTTTGTGATAGGGTGAGAATTCCTGCTTCTAAAAATGTTCCCTGTTTACATCTTTTGCATATTACCTAATCAGCAGTGCTCCGTGAGCAGCTGCCATGCCAGAGGTTAAAACCATGACAACAATAAGGCAATTAAAACAGCCTAAATCACAACAAAACGAGCAAGGCCTCGTTGCATTTTTTAAACACGAGAAGCCGAACAATTCCAGGCTGGTTTGGGTGTGCCGAGAAACAAACCCGGTTTTCAGAGTTCTGCGATTCCCCTTCTGATCCGTTGTGCCCATGATAAGTTTTTGTTCCATGGGAGAAAATTTAACATATTAATGAACTATGGTTGGTTAATCTTAATTGTGTCGGTTTGACCCAATCACTAAACCACTTGGAAGTTGGCCCATCTAGGTTTTTTTTAAAGCAGAGATTTGTCAAACGGTATAAGGTTTTGCTGCTTGAGCAGGAGTTGGACTAGAAGACCTCCAAGGTCCCTTCCAACTCAGGTAAAGGTAAAGGTTCCCCTTGCACACATGTCATTTTTGGCTCTAGGGGGCAGTGCTCATCTCTGTTACAAAGCCAAAGAGCCAGCACTGTCCGAAGGTGTTTCTGTGGTCATGTGGCCGGTCCCTGTTTTTCTACTTGCATTTTTTATATGCTTTCGAGCTGCTAGGTTGGCAGAAGCTGGGACGAGTAACGGGAGCTCCCTCCGTTACGCGGCGCTAGGGATTTGAACCGCCGAACTGCCGACCTTTCTGATCGACAAGCTCAGCGTCTTAGCCACGGAGCCGCCGCATCCCTCCAACTCTGCTATTCTGCATGAAAACTTTATATTGAAGATTAAAGCGTGTCTGGATTTAGTTGTTGTGTGTGATATGATGGCCGGAGAGAATGTGAAAGTTTAACTCCTCCCAGCTGCATCTGGGGAAGGAGAGACGAACACCTGGGCCCAGCAGAAGCCTGTTAGTTAGGATTGGGAGCCATATGTGCTTCCCAGAAACTCGTAGGCTGCCAAGGGTGGGTGCAGGAAAGAGTGAGGTGCACAAGGCTGCCCGCGTCTCAATAAATGAAGAATACAGCTCGTCCTCGACTTACAGCAGTTCACTTAGTGACCGTTCAAAGTTGCAACAGCACTGAAATACTTAATGACAACTTTCCACACTTACGCCATTGCAGCATCCCCATGGCCACGTGATTTGCTTTTGGATGCTTGACAACCGGTTCGTACTTACGATGGGTGGCACGCAGTCCCCTTTTGCAACCTCTTGGCAAAGCTAGATTCCCGTCATGCTCCTGTCAGAATCTGATTTGGAGGGGGAGGCCGAACAGCTGACAGGGAGCGGGAGTGTGGCTCCGTTGGCTGTGGAAGAAACTGGGGAAGGGCAAAGTCTGGCTGGGCAGAGCAGGGGAGAGGTAGAGCAAGGGAGAAGGAGTTCAGAGGAAGACCCAGGCCCACCCCCTCTTCATCCTAGGGCACACAGGGAAGAAAGGAGAAGGGAGCAACATGGGTTGTGTGGCTTACGGGGGAGGAAAGGGCCCTGATTCCCTCACTTAGAAGCAGAAATTTGGGGGCTCGGTTGCCGGCGTAGATCTAGGGCTGCCTGTGATGAGGTTCTGCTTGCCAGGGTGATCGCAGTGCCAACTCTCGTGCGTTCCACAGGTCCATCATGTACGGCTGTGTTGCGCTGATGAAAGTGATGGGGCAGCTCGGGGGAGACTTCTACTTTACCGACTGCCTGCTTTTCGGGGCCATCGCCTCCGCTACGGATCCTGGTAGGTTGTAGGGGCGGGGGGGAGAACCAGGGACCCTCTTCAAAATAATTCCAGCTGGGAACAGAGTGGATTTTTCTTTTTTTTTATAATAATTTTTATTTCTTTCAATACATCTTTAAGTGAACAGTGTGGTTCCGGGTTTGTTTGTTTTTACATTTTAAACCAAACATGATCATAATTACACATATATAACTTTCTTGTCTAATTTCATATCATTACAAGTGGATTTTTTCTTGTTTTGGCCTCCTTGTTCCCCTGCAAACGTGGAGGTACCATTCTGGAATAGAGCAAGTTCCCTCTTTGCTGGATCAGATCAGGTGGAGTTTTGGATGCCCACCAAAAGCCCAGCAAGCCGACGTTAGTAGCGGAGTCTGGTTTATTTCACAAGAGGGGGAAAAAATGTTGTGAGAGAATTGTATGCCCGTGTCTGAGTTTCTTGAAAAGATACTAGCAATAAGCAATAGCACGTAGACTTATATACCACTTTATAACGCTTTGCAGCCCTCTAAGTGATTTACAGAGTCAGCTTCTTGCCCCTCCAACAATCTGGGTCCTCATTTTACCCACCTCGGAAGGAGGGAAGGCTGAGTCAACCTTGAGCCGAGCAGGATCAAACTGCTGGCAGTGGGCAGAGTTAGCAAAAGTACTTAGACTTATATACCGCTTCACAGTGCTTTCCAGCCCTTTTTAAAGCAGTTTACAGAGTCGGCCTCTTGCTGCCCCAACAATCTGGGCCCTCATTTTACCCACCTCGGAAGGACGGAAGGCTGAGTCAACCTTGAGCCTGGTAAGATTTGAACTGCCAAATTGTAGGCAGCCAGTAGGCAGCAGAAGTAGCCTGCAGTACTACACTCTTAACCACTGCGCCACCGAGGCTCCTTGATGTATATATTGATGTAGCAAGGATCTAGAACGGGATAGAAATGGCCTTTTAAGTCTCACAGGAATCTCGTTAAGATTCCTGAGTAACTTTGACCTCCTCAGAGTATCCCAAGGAACAGTCTTCTTTCAACTCTTTCAGCCTTTTAATTTATTCCATGAAGTCCCAAAGCTCTGAAGACAAAAAAACTCCAGTCCTGGTGACTGACCCAGACTTGATCCTGTCCTATAAGCGTTTGTTGGATCTTTCTACAGATGTTTGCATCTCTCTTGTATTTTGAAGGTGGAGGTGTTGCCAGGTAAACAATGCAGTAAGCTAACTTGGGATTCTAGCAAATTCTTTGCTCTCTTTTTTTTTCTCGGCTAGTGACCGTCCTCGCCATATTCCATGAACTTCAAGTGGACGTTGAGCTCTACGCCCTTCTCTTTGGAGAGAGTGTCCTCAACGACGCCGTGGCCATTGTGCTGTCTTCGTAAGTTGTGTGTCTTTCACCCAACATGCTCCCTTCTCCCTGGCAGAGGCAGCTCAAGTTAGGGAACATCTGCAAAGCGGTCGTGCCTTGTAGAAAGTGATAGCAATAGCGGTTAGACTTATATACCGCTTCACAGTGCTTTCCAGCCCTCTTTAAGCGGTTTACAGAGCCAGCCTATCGCCCCCAATAATATGGGTCCTCACTGTACCCACCTTGGAAGGATGAAAGGCTGAGTCAACCTTGAGCCGGTCAGAATTGAACTGCTGGCAGTGGGCAGAGTTAGCCTGCAATGCTGCATCCTAACCACTGTGCTATCAGGAAGGAGAATGAGAAAGGGAATAAGAGGGAGGGAAGGGAAGGAAGGAAGGAAGGAAGGAAGGAAAGAAGGAAGGAAGAGCAATAGCACTTAGACTTATATACCGCTTCACAGTGCTTTCCAGCCCTCTCTAAGCAGTTTACAGAGTCAGCCTCTTGCCCCCAAACAATCTGGGTCCTCATTTCACCTACGTCAGAAGGATGGAAGGCTGAAATAACCTTTAGCTGGTTAAACATAGAACTCCTGGCAGTGGGCAGAATTAGCCAGCAATACTGCATTGTAACCACTGCGCCACCGCAGCTCTTCCAACTGATTCTTGGCGCATCTGGCACTAGCAAAATCTTCTTCCACTTCAATCCCTTGCGGGATGGAGTCTAGGCAACCGAATGGAGCTGAGTGTTTACTGGCCGGATGCCCCTCCTGTCCCCAGTGCGGAGTTATATCCAGCAGAGACATTCTCATTGTGCCCAGAGAGAGAACTCTCTGCCTCCAGCTAGGATCGGGCTCGCAGCCTCCTGAGAGCTCCGCCTCTGGGCCACCGCATCGCTCCAGCACTAGCAGAACGGCGGAGGGGAATCGCTGTGGAAGAGCCGGCTTAAAAAGTCTGCGTTCTGTGTCCCCCACAGGTCAATCGTTGCCTACCAGCCCGCAGGAGACAACAGCCACACTTTCGATGTGACCGCCATGTTCAAATCCATCGGGATCTTCCTGGGGATTTTCAGCGGATCATTCGCCATGGGGGCGGCCACTGGCGTGGTCACCGCTCTGATATCCTTGGTTTGTCTGTCGGAAACTCTCTTGTTTCTGAGCGAGAAAGTTTGCAGCTCGGGAGGCTGTAAAAATCGGCACAGTAAGGAGGCTCCCCCCACCCTCAGCGAAAGAATTCAGAATTTTGGTTTGTCAGTAAATAACTCAAATTTTATTATTGCTAAGATGCTGCTTTTCTTCAGGAACAGACTTAAAGCTCTAACCTGTTTATTATAAACTTGATTGGCCACAAATATCCAAACTGGAGAGAGAGAGAGAAATATACATATATATATATGTGTGTGTGTGTGTAGGTGTACATATATGTATATGTATATGTAAATGCATATATAAAAGTATATGTGTGTGTGTGTGTACATATATATATGTATATATATGTATATCTATATGTATGTATATGTTTCCTTAAGTTTTCACAGGTACTTACATGTATTCAGCTTTGTTCCGGTATTTTCTCACGACATTATAGTTGTGGTTTTAAAGTTGTAGCAACGTTTCTGCAGAATCTCATCTGCCATCATCAGGCTTCTGTATTGTGTTCATCTGTGAGTCAGACTTTTACAGTTGTTGCACAATACAGAAGCCTGATGATGGCAGATGAGATTCTGCTGAAACGTTGCTACAACTTTAAAAGCACAACTATAATGACGTGGGAAAATACCTGAGCAAAGCTGAATACCATAGATAGATAGATAGATAGATAGATAGATAGATAGATAGATAGATAGATAGATGGATATCTCCATTTCAGCCACACATAGACGCAATTATATCCATTTCAGCCACATATCCAAAATATATATCTATCCAATAAATAAATTATATATACACACACACGCTACATACACACATACATACATACATACATATATTAAAAATATCATTATATCCATTTCAGCTGGTCAGAAGCACCCTCTCAAAATGTATTTCCTTATTGGGCTGATCAAGGCTCTCTTCTAATTGTCCAGTGATTCGATTAAAGGCCAATCCAGTCAAATCGTGCCAGACCATTTGAATGCAAGAAAAAGACCACACGGGGGTCCATGACTCGCACTCTTCTCCCCTGGATTGCAAGCTGAGAGCCTTAAAGCAAAAAGGCCCAGCTTTGCTGGTGCGTTTATGGGGTGTGGCTTGAACCCCTCAAGTTTGCTCAGTTTATATCTTTCCCTGATTTGGGGACGCTTTAGTGACCTCGCTGAGAAATTTCTCTTGTTTTTGTTGGAGTGTTTTGTTTTTTTTTCCAAATCTCTGCTGGATTTCTCCCTTAACTTCTCCCAGCTCCACGTCACCAAGTTTACCAAACTCCACGAGTTCCACCTGCTGGAAACAGGCTTGTTTTTCCTGATGTCCTGGAGCACCTTCCTCTTGGCCGAAGCGTGTGGTTTTACCGGTAAGTGGCCCTGCGCTTCTTCCCTCGTACCGCCTGAGTGGAGCGGTACCAGGAAACCCCCCAGTGAGGTTTAAATCCTTGCCAAATCGGCAGCGACCCAACTTCTCTGATGCTGAAAAGGCCACACCCAAAAAGGTTCCCCACTCCCCCCGCCCCAAAACCCCTGGGGACGGTTCAGCCATGGGTGGGCGGGAGGGGGGTTGAGCATCTGGGATGGAGCGTGTGGTCTTTAGTTACTCCAGTTTTCTCTAAGGAGTTTCCAGGACGGGCAGGCTGCTTTCTTGCCTGAGGCTGTGGGGTGTAATGGGAGGAGCTGTTTTATGCAACACGGAACTATGTCATTACCAACCTATTGGGGCTGATTGCTCTTACCTGTAGGTGGAAGTCTTCTGCGTAGCTAAAAGGCCTGTGGGTTTCTGTTGGACCCACACATCCTGACGGCTTTTTGCTTTAACCAGCGTTTGTTCAGATCAGGACGAAAGCCAATGCCAAGCCCATAAATTTTATAATGCCTTGGTAAAGGCCACACTTGGAAGACTGCATTCAGTTTTGGTCACCACGATGTGAAAAAAGAGGTTGAGACTCTAGAAAGAGTGCAGAGAAGAGCAACAAAGGAGATCAGGGGCCTGGAGGCTAAAAGGTATGATGAACGGGTGCAGGAACCGGGCATGGCTAGTATCTGATGAAAAGAAGGACTAGGGGAGACATGATAATAGCAGTCTTCCAATATCTCAGGGGCTGCCCCAAAGAAGAGGCAGTCAAGCTATTCTCCAAAGCCCCCGAAGGCAGGACAAGAAGCAACAGATGGAAACTCCTCAAGGAGAGACGCAACCTAGAACTAAGGAGAAATTTCACGACAGTGAGAACAATTCATCAGTGGAACAACTTGCCTCTAGAAGTTGTGGATGCTCCAACACTGGAAGTTTTTAAGAAGAGATTGGACAACCATTTGTCTGAAATGGTATAAGGTTTCCTGCCTAAGCAGGGGGTTGGACTAGAAGACCTCCAAGGTCCCTTCCAACTCTGCTCTTCTATTCTAAAACTAGGTTTATGCAGGTGCAACACTCACCTACCATGCTAAACCATAATAAAAAGCCGTGTTGAAGAAAAACAGGAGATGGGCTGCAGGCTCTCTTATTCATCCAATATTTTGTCCCCAGGTGTGGTGGCAGTTTTGTTCTGTGGCATCACTCAAGCTCACTATACCTACAACAACTTGTCCACAGAATCTCAGCACAGGACAAAACAGGTGAGGCCTTGGACCAGAATTGCCAGGGAGGGACACTTCCCTTAACGCAGGAGAGTTGCAATAATTTTTTTTTAAATTGCCCACTGTCCCCCTTATAAATCTAATAAATTAATGCTGGCTTATCTATCTTGTGCGGTCCACGGGAATTTGAAGAATTCCCCTATCACTTTAAATAAATATTTGGGTCACTGTCATTGCAAGGACCATCTACCACTCCTCTCTCATCTTGTCCAATATTTTAGTTGTTTGAGCTACTCAACTTCTTGGCGGAGAACTTCATCTTTTCCTACATGGGGCTTACACTGTTCACGTTCCAGAACCACGTCTTCAATCCAACCTTCGTGGTTGGGGCTTTTGTATCCTTTTTTGTTTGAAAAAAATATATGCGGGGAAGCCACGTGGGGTCGTGTAGGATAATTGTCTGGAAAACGGGGGCTAAAGGAAGAGAAACCCAGAGAGCTGAATACGGTTATTACTCCCAATTAAACAGGATTGAAACATGCTTGTGTAAATTCAGCACTGAGCGATATAGATAATTTAATAATTGAACACTCTCAGGGAAGGGGAAAAAGCAGTGATTAGTTAAAAAAAACAATGCACTGAGTTTGCGTGTTGTTTTACACCATTTTTGTTTTATCCTGGTTTATTGGATGTTGTGAGAAGCGTCCAAACCTGTGTCAGCTGACCAGCAAGTTGGGCAGACTTTACCAACTAGCGTATCTGGGCTCAGTCTGAAAAGACAGAATCCAACAGAAGCTCACTTGGGCTTTTTTTTTGCTTCGTGGCATTTTTAGTGAGAAGCCTTTTCTGCCCCTGAAAAATTCTTAGCCCACCTACCTGGTGAGGAAGTAAAGAAGCCAACATTGGTGGTGACATTTAGATGACATTCTAAGCTGCTGTGAACCAGGTTAAGCAGCCTGTGTAATTTTAAAGTGGGCTTAAAAGAGCAACTAATTTGCGGGGTCCTTCATGCTGCCTTGAGCTGGGTGGTTTCCTTGCAGACATTTCACCACCCAACTTGGTAACATCATCAGTGCAAGAAGGGACCGTATGCATATAGAGAGCAAACCCAACTCCCTTCTACCACTGATGATGTTACCTAGTTGGGTCATGAAACGTCTGCAAGGAAACCACCCAGCTCAGGGAGCATCAAGGATACACACACACACACACACACACACACACACACACACACACACACCCCTTCCAGTTCCGCCCTGAGCTATAAATATTTCCTTCTATCGGAAAATAATTTCCTTAATGCAGCCACGAATCTAGCTGGCAGTGTTCCTGGGAAGAGCAGCAAACATTTACCCGCTCTCTTTCCTGCTTAACCTGGGGAGGCGAAACAAGATTGGGACCAACATTCAGCATATGATGATGTTTGCTGGTGAGTGGCCCTTGGGCTCCTTTGAATCTGGCTGCCACAAATAATTGCACACGGAAGAAGGAAAGGTGGCCATTAGAGAGGAGAAGAATGGGCCCCTTCCAGTTTTTAAGATTATATTGGAGGGCCAGGTAAATATTTTTTATCGGGCTGAACAAATTGCCTTCAGGAAGCGAACCAATGAAGGTAAGGGAGCCAGAGGAGACCTGATCCTTTGCAGAAAGCGTCACTCCCATGTAAATCACAGCCAATTCATGAGAAAATGAATAGTGACAGTTGAACAGTGTTGAGGGAATTATTTGTTTAGCAGAGTGATGGCCGGGGAAAAACTGTTTATTATATTATAATAAATTATATTATAGAAAAACAAAGATATAAGGAAGTATGCACGGACATTTACGGGAGATTATCTATAGATGCGGGGAATCGTGTGAGCACTGGGAAAGAAAGTGAAATGATGGTTTTCTCCGCCTGTGAAGATGGCTTGGCTTGTCCATGTTTGTGCAAAGGTTAAAAATGGCTGACTAATGGTTTGAAATGCACTAGAAAAGTGCTTCCCCAACCTTTCTGGCCAGGTGGACTCAGCCGGGGTGGGTGTGGGTGAGAAGCAGAGGAAATAGTTCCATGTGGGCGGCAGGCATGTATGCGCACATGTGCCACTCCGTTTGTGCCCAAATGGAACTTCAAGCATGCATGCGAATGGCTGCCACTTGTGTGCAAATGGAGGTTCGTATGTGAGCGTGCACACTTGTGGGCTGGTTCCAAAGAAACGAGAAAACCCAGCCAGGTTGAGGGAAACTTCACGCCCCTTTCTCTTAGGCCTGCGGGGAGCCATGGCGTTTGCCTTGGCCATCCGGGACACAGCCACCTATGCGCGGCAGGTGATGTTCAGCACGACTCTGCTGATCGTCTTCTTCACCGTCTGGGTCTTCGGCGGCGGCACCACCCCGATGCTCTCGTGCCTGCACATTCGGTGAGTTAGGCCCTTCCTGCCCTTCCTCTTCCTCTTCCTCAGCTGCGAGCGGAATTGCTTAATTCGGGTGGGGCATCCTGAGCATGGTGCGCTTGAAAAGAGCAGTAGAGCCACTTTACGGATAATTGGCAATGTTGAGCAAGTTTGGTTTATGTCTTTTCGGGATAAGGGCAGTGCTGGCGTCAACGGAGCCAATTGCAATTGGGTTTTGGGGTTTTGTTTTGCCCTGCCGTGAATTGGGGTGAGGTGTCCTTTCGGGAAGAAGGAACCCACATGCAAACGGAGTGGGGCCACATCCAGTTATGAAAAGCACCCTCTTAGCCACTGGATGTCAGCTTGGCTCTGGGTGATGAGCATGAGAAGGCAGGAATAGACCGTGCTAACCTCCCAAGGGTGGCCGTCTCATGAAGGCCAGCCCAGCTCACATCTGAGCAGAGGTGTGAGATGTATCCACTTGTGCTCCACAATCAGCATGTCAGGATTCCAGCGATCGCCCTAATTAAATCATGATTCTGGAGCCAAACTTCAAAAAACTTCAAAGGATTCATTAGAGGCAACATGTATGCCCTGCATGAAGCCAACTCTGGCATAGGTCATTTACAGTCTCCTGTGACCCTGTTTCCGCCCCGCTCCCCGCTGGGTGTGTCATAAATCATCTTCTCCAATTGATCCCCTTCACGGGCCGGGTGTCCTCCTCGTTCACGTTCTCTGATGAAAGATATTTGCGGGCAAAAGCTCTGGTATTTTAGCTACAATCTTTGAAAGAGAAGAGTTGGAATGCTTTCAACTGCCCTTCTAAGATTTCCTTCCTCCTCCCCCCCCCCTTTTTTTTAATGGCAACTACTAAAACAGGCATAGGAATGTTTTATGAGTTGACACAATGGTGGGATTCAAATGGTTTTGCCACCGGTTCGGTCGATATGACACGGTGGGCGTGCTTTGCCCAACGCCCCCGCACAGCTTTCGCCACACCAGCTGAGACCCTGCAGCGCCAATCAGCTGAGAGGATCGGGAGGAGGAAAGCATAGGGGCCAGTGGGAGGGCCAATCCTTTGCTTTACTCTTCGTTTCCTCTCACCTGATTGTGGGCGTCTTCTCACCCCCACCACCACTACCAGATCGGTCCAACCGGTGTGAACCGGTAGCATATCACCACTGTCCACAATCTCTCCTCGGATGGAGAAGCGATGCATTCATTATATGCCATCAAGTCAGATTCTTAGCCTTTCTCCAGGAGGATCTGGTCCTTTGGATCTTCTAAGACTGCCCCCATCATGTAACTGGGCCTTCCACATTCCTGCGTCTCCTCTTTCCTTCCGCTTTTCCCAACACCTGAGCTTTCCTCCCCTTTGCGCACGTTTGTATCCGTCCCCGCCTGTTACTTTAGCACGAAGGGCCAATGGTCGTATTTAGAGGCGCCCATCTCAAAGCCTTTTGGGTGAGGATTTGTGTGCCAGCTGGTTGGGCAGAGAGTTTTGCCCCCGCCTGAATGGGGAGAGTAATAGTCCTTGCGTGTTCTTCCCTGCAGGGTTGGTGTCGATGCTGACCAAGACAACGTGGTAAGTGCCCTGCCTCCTCTCTCCACCCTCACTGCCACACTCTTGCGGTTGTTAAGTCAGAATTTCCAAGGCCTCGATGATTAAGTTCACTCTGCAGTCGTTTCTCACCTTCTGGAGTGCCAAGTGTTTTCAAGATAAAGGAATAATAAGAATGGAATGGGAAGAATAGAATAAGGAAAGAATGGAATAGAATAGAATAGAAAATTAGAGTAGAATAGAATCTTAGAATAGAATAAGAAATTAATAGAATAGAATCTTAGAATAGGAAATTAGAATAGAATAGGGAAAGAATAGAATAGGGAAGGAATAAATAGAATAGAATGAGGAATGAATAAAATAAGGAATGAATAAAATAGAATATTAGAATAGAATAGGGAATTAGAATAGAATAGAAAAAATGAATAGAATAGGGGAAGAATAGAATAGAATAGAATAGAATAGAATAGAATAGAATAGAATAGAATAGACTTTATGGTCATTTTAAATGTACACAAATCAGCATACATTAAAATGAAATTTCATTGCATTCAGCTCTCAAAAGATAAATATTATTCTCTCTCTCTCTCTCTCTCTCTCTCTCTCTCTCTCTCTCTCTCACACACACACACACACACACACACACACACACACACACAGAGCGATCTCATTTCCAACCAGGCTGAGTAGGCCTCCCTTGTGTCCTGATGCCAGGATTCTGTCAGGACTTTGTTGAAGCCCTACCGATCTTTAAACTCCTCTTCTGATTAACGCAGTCCAGACCGCAAACATCAGACCAATAAGCAGCACCCCGCAGAAAACGAAGAGCAAACTGAACATTGCTTGTGACTCTCTCCCCCGCGTCCCCCAAACCCTACTACGATTCTCTTGTGTTTTCCTTCTTTTCCAGGGTGGGCCAGAAACCGAGGGGCGAAGCACCAGAGCCGAGAGCGCCTGGCTGTTCCGAGTCTGGTATAACTTCGACCATAAGTATCCTTCCCAGGGATCGGGGGGTGGCCTTGGACCCGAGTCCCCGCATCTGCAGCCAGAGATGGCCGAAGCACCTTCCCTTCCTCAGCTGTGCATTCTTGTCTCTCGTGGCCCTTTATCTGGGCTCGGGACCAAGAAATGCAGAACGCTAGATCTCTCCTATGTGCCATGCCTGCAGGGGCAGGAGATTATTTTAGTTTTCTTCCAGTCTCTGTATCCCCCCCACCCCCGAGTTTTGACACCAGGCCAGCTCCCTGCTGTGTCCAGAAGTGACCGAGCCCATGCCACGAGCAACAAACCTTGGAGAAACCTGAAGCCAAAACTTATACTGAGCAAAGTAGGATTTCAGGGTCAAAGTGTTATCCTTCTGCTCCTGTAAACGACTTTTTTCTTCGAATGAAGGTGGGCCAGACCTCTCTCTCTCGCTCCGTGGCGGAAAGCAGAAGAGAACCAACAGTGGACCAAAGCCGTAGTAATAATTGTGATGGCTTTAATGTAGGAAAACAGGGGAGGAACTCTGCAAGCAGGCGTAGAGGAATCCTGTATGGCGGGGGCTCTCGACCTGTGGCCCACCAAGCCCTAGCATGGGCCACAATATGATAGGAGGCCAGAGAAGGCTTAAAGAAACATTATGATTTCCACCTTAAGCCTTGGGGGACCCTGGCCACAAAAAGTAATTAAAGGGAGAGGGGTCCCTGGGGAAGAAATCACAGCCGTATGGAAAAGCCACCATTGCTCAGTTGATCAGGCCTTATAGCAGCAACTATGGCAACTTTACAGCTTCAACTCCCAGAATTCCTGTGCCGGCATGGCCGTCACGTGTGTGCGCCCAGGAAGCATTGGCAAAAGCTTTTAAGAAGCCCTTTTTAGGAGTCTAGGAGAGAGTTTGTTACTTCTGTTGCATTAGGTAATTTTAATTGCCCTGTTTCCCCCAAAATAAGACCTAGCAAGTTTTTTACGCATGTGCCTAATATAACAGCAATAGCCCTTAGACTTGTATACCGCTTTGTGGCCCTTTCCCCCGCGAGCAAGCCGAAGACGGCCTCCTGTACATGGGCAAAATAAGACCTCCCCTGAAAATAAGCCCTAGTGCTTATTTCGGAGTCCAAAAGAAAGTCAGACTGGGTCTTATTTTTGGAGAAACACAGGTAGCAGTGCTAGAAAAACCATATCAAAGTCTTGGCTTGGGATAAAAATGTGCTATTTCTCCAAAGAGAGGTGCCTCCTTTGCCTTAACCCCTCCTCAGCTATTTAAAACCTCTCTTGACGCACAGCGGCCCTCCCCTCACCACCACGCTCCCCAGTTGCTGTGGGCCCCTTGCAAGGTGCTTGACGAGTCCGCAGGCTTACGAGGTGAGTCCAGGAGTTCCCCCAACCCCCAAATGAAGGGCCTCCCATGGCTCGCCGTTGCGTTCAACTGTCGCTAAGGTGGGCCGGGCAAAACCCGAGGATAATCCGTGCGCGGGGTTGGAGAGTTGACGTCCAGAAAAGGAGAGCAGGACCTCAGGGAAGGGAAGGCGTAGTTTGGGTTGTCCTTTGTTGAGGTGGGCTCTAGCCTCTGTTGGGTGTTTCCTTCTTGAGGTTGGGAATGTTGTTGTAGATACTAAGAAGTTGCCCAACTCTCTTACTGAAGCTGCTTTGGACTTCTGCTGTTTAGTAAAGCCCTTGATCTTCTCCTTTTCCTCCTCCTCCTTCCTCTCCCTCTCCCCTCCTCCTCCCTCCTCCCTTCTTCCTCTTCCCTTCTTCCTCCTCGTCTTTTTTATCTTTTTTTTCCTCCTCTGCCTCCTCTTTCTTCTCCTACTCCCTTACTCCTCTTCCTTGTGTTCTTTCTCTTTTTCTTCCTCCTATTCCTCTTCTTCCTTCTCTTCCAATCCTTCCTTCTTCTCCTTCCCCCTCTCCCCTCCTCCCCTCCTCCCTTCTCTCTTACTCCTCCCACTTGTGTTCTTTCCCTTTTTCTTCCTCCTCTTCCCATTCTTCCTCCTCCTCCTCCTCCTCCTCCTCCTCCTCCTCAGAATCAAGAACAGCTGAAGGACGACGACTCAGATCTGATATTGAACGACGGAGACATCAGCCTGACGTACGGGGATTCCAGCGGGAACTCCGATTCATTGCCATCGGGCGCCTCCAGGCGGGTGACCGGGAACGGTTCGGAGGACACCCTGGACCAGGAGCTGGGCTTCGGAGACCATGAACTGGTCATCCGGGGGACACGCCTCGTTCTCCCCATGGACGACTCGGAGCCGCCTTCCGGCGTGGTTGACAACGCTCGCCACGGCCCAGCGTAAAGACCGGTTCCTTGAGACGACGGGGAGTGTCCGAGGAAGAGGAACCAACGACAACCAAAATATCCGCAGACCGTGGCGAAGAAAAACCTGGCTATCGGTGATTCCCCCCCCTCCCGAAAAAAACCCTACCGCCCGTCTCAGGAGCGTTTGAGCTGTATAAATACTATTTATTTATACGATGTCAGGCCGAATCCCCGCTGTCTGTGCGTGGCGGTTCTCGGGGAGCGAGCTGTTGATTTTGTACGCTTAGGAGCACCCACGTGAAATGGATGGGACTTGCACCAAACAGCAGTGGAACCGTCTTCAATACAGTTGGGCCACGGGGAACGTAGAGACCTGTAGGGCAAAGGCAGCTTTGCAAAACAAGAACCCTTCCGGTTCTATAGAATTATGTGTCGTCGTTGTTGTTGTTTGGGTTGGGTTTTGACCATCCAAGTGCCCATTTTGTTGATGCCAGGGAAGGAGGGAAGGGAAGGAAGGAAGGAAGGTAGGTTAAGTTTGAGCAGTGGGGAACTTAAGACGAGGTGGCCAAACTGCAGTTAGGCAGAAGATCAAAGAAAAACCAAAGGTTTTTTTTTGCTTGAAATCTTTTATTTTGAAGAACATCTCCTGGATGTTGGACAAATTTGGACAAGGGGGCTTCTCTTTTGGCCACCTGGCTGTCCACACGGAAGGGAGAATTAGCCGGACGGCAGATGCTGTGGGCATAACAAGCTTCTAACTTGGCAAGTTGTGTATGTGGGTTGACAGGCATCAACCTCCTCGGTGGTCCCAATAGAGAAGGTTGTCCTCTTAAGACACCGAAGGTGGATCATTTTATCATTGTTTGGGTTTTCATTTTTCTCTCGCCTTACCCCATCGCGTTTAGGGTGAGGCGCCGAATTGACGGAGTACCTAAATAGCTACCGTTTCGTTCTTTTTTGTGCAGAGAATTCACATGCGGCTTCGGGGAGCAGGTTGGAGGCCCCCCAAAAACGGCCGTGTCGATTTTGAGCTTTCCATTCTAGTGGGGGGGTGGGGGCAGAATTTTTTTTTTAATGGTTGCACATCTGCAGACTAACCGAACAGCTGGAGCAGCGGCACTTGGGACTGTCCAAAAGACACAGGTGGAGATTTTACAGGGTTGGTGGGTTTTTTTTTAAAGATACTTGGAACATCTGTGCATTTGTATAGTTGCACTCCTTGGTATTGGTTGCATGATAATGCACATTTGTGTGTGTGTGTGTGTGTGTGTGTGTGTGTCTATAATGGGGAAAAGAGATTTCTGTCTCATTGTTTACAATTCAGTGAGAAAAATGCCAATAAGGCCTGTTTCTTGACGTTTTTTTTTTTAATTTCTTCACCTATGAAAGAGCTCCGAACAGCCTGCTGATTTTTATATTCAAGTTTATTCAGATTTTTCTCTTCTAACTTTCTGTTTTACTTGTTTTGGAGGATTTTCATCGCATCTTTTCCAGGCACACTGGCAGATCGGGGTCACTTCCCGACTGAACCTCATTGCTTTCTTATGCCGAAAACACACAAAACCAACTCTCACGTTAGAATTTCGAAATGCTTTTTTAACGCCCCGTTTTATTCTAGTTACTAACACTCCCTGTTTTTTTAAAAAATCCTGTTTTTCAAAATGGGTTTCATTTTTTTTAAGATTAGCACAACCTGCAAGCAGCAGTATATAGTTTCCCTTTGGCTAGCCATTCAATTCACCAGAGAAATTTCTCATCCTAAAATAAACCTTGTACACCCCCCCCCCTCCAGGCTTGCTTTGGAGGAAAACCACGCTCCAAAATTGTGAAATGTTTGTAACCATTTTGTGCCCTGGAAGCAGGCTAAGGTAGCTGTAGACATCCTGCATTTCAGCATATAAAGTATAATAACTTTGCATGTGTGGCTTTTCTTTTCTTTTTTATTCATTTTCTTTAACGAGAACTTTTGAGCTGAGATTTTTTTTTTTCCTCCAGAACAGAAAAACTGAATTGCTTCTTCTTTTTAAACCTTAAAGATTGGCCGTGCTGGACTTTTGCCTCTTCTTTTGGTCCAGCAAGGAACCGATTCCATTTCAGCCACGTAAACAGATTACTTTTTGTTTTCCAAAAGTTTCCGGTCTGAATTAACTTTCTCCAAGTCTCCTTCAGGATAATTTTGGGCACCTGCCCAGGAATGGTGAGCTCTATTCCTTCCCTTTTTGGTTGCATTCTGCTTTCATCGTGTCCCACCCCGCTTCTTCAAGAGTCGCCCCAATTCTATAGTGACACCGCTTGCCTGAGAAGTGTCAAACTTCACTGCACTGGAAAAATAAGATTTTTTTCCCCCCCTTTCTCTCCCAAACTTACTTCGTTAGGTAACATTAGGTCTTTTATTTTTATTATTATTTTTTCCTGCTATGCAGGAACGTCGTTCAATATATGTGAATGCATGTTGTGCTTCTATATAATGTCTGTATTTTAATGTCCGATGTTAAAATAATAATAATAACAATAACAATAGTACTATTGCTAATAATATGAGAAATGTTCATGTGATAACGCTTCGGTTTCAAATGTATCTAAGCAACTAAGCTAATGACCTTTTCAGCCTGATCGGTCGTGGAGTTTGCAGACTTCTGCATCCGAAAAATGTGGAATTTTGTCAAGGAGACATACTTTGTCCGAAATGGTGGATCACCTTTCTGCTCCGTCCTCCCCAATTTGGAAGATTTGCAGACTCCGCTACCAGTGAAAGTTTCTCGTTTGTAAATCATGACTTAAGACCCCTTGTGGAACTACAGTTCCCAGCAGCCTCAAATGCCACGGCCACGCAGGGGAAAGGCAGGCTGAGAATTAAGAGTGCACCAACATCTGCAAGGTGGCTTCAGCAACATCTGGAAGGCCCCATTTTGCCCTGCTTGGAGGCCTTCTTCGCTCAGACCACAAGTAAAAGAAGATCCCTTGAGATTTTGGGTTGTGTGTCTAAATCTGGTGTCTTATCGGCAGGTAATAGATTAAAAGTGGGGCTGACAAGTTTAGGGAGATCCTCGATCCCGAGGGAATCGGTTCTGCTTTGCTGCCTTAAACTGGACAAAAGAGGGAAGCCCCCACGCCCAACTCCCTGGTTGTGCCTCCTCTATCCTCAAGTGCAAGTTGTGCAGTGCCAAACTATTCCCGTAAGCACCACCTCACACGTTTCGTTATTTATTTAAAGCAGCCACTTGCTAATGCGTGTTGAGGAGCGAGGACTTGCGATGTAACCGTAGGTCGCAGTGCAGCCTGGTTTAGAAACCTGGCAGAGACCTCTTGGTTTCAAAAGGCAAGCAGATAGTTCCCGGTGGTCCATTGGAGAGGACATCCTTGTAACATCTTCTTGAGAAGGTGTCCTCCTAATGGGAACTCCTTGCATTCATTCTTTCCTTTGGGGGAAAAAGCAACCTGATCTTCAGACAAACCCATCCCTCTCTGAGACCAAAATTCTGCATCTTTGAGAATTTCTCTTTCTAAATGTAATAATAATACACTTCCTAGTTTTTCAGGCGAGTTTGCCTTTAAGGCATCATAATAACCACCACATCACTCCAGACTTCGAATGCTTGGGATAGTTTTCAACCGGCTGATTGAGTTGGGAGACGGATCCCAGGTTTCACGGCCAGTGAGTAATCGAGAACGCTGACACCAACTGCGGTTCCTCCACGATTAGCCACAATCTGCCAGAAATTAAACACGGCGTTGATAAGTGCCCATTTCTTTCTTCGATGCCGCAAGAAAAGCAGTTCCCTTGTGCTTAATTTCTCTCGTGTGTCTAGTGCCCTGTTCTTAACACGACCTCAAAAAAGTGGGGATTTATAAGCGCGTGACTCCAGCTGTGGGTTTCAAATCAGTTTCCCTCAAAATACGCTTTTTTTTTTCTCTGTAAAGATTCAATTTCTGCATCGGTGACATTGTATGTTCAAGTTCTAGTGTTCTCGATTTACTGTTGAATTTGTCTCTTTTTATGGTATTAACTGCTGTAGTTGTGGCATTCTTGTAACGATAACCCTGAAGCATAATAATTGCACCTTTCTTTTTGGTTGATGATAATTCAAATCTTTTATTGTTACTCGCATTGTAAAAGAAATCATGGGCCTATAAAATAAGTTTCTTTGAATGCGATGCGTCTACATGGTTTTTCACTCCATGCGGAAAATGTGCTTTTAAACGTTATTTTTTGACCGGTTGGTTGGACTTTGTTGAGGGTTTTTTAAAGTCACGTTTTGTCTTGCAGCTGTAAATCTCATACCACTGAAAAAAGTAAGGACGTGTAAAGTGGAAAAGGAAGAAGTGTCAATATTCTGTACAATAACCCTATCGTAACCTAATTATTTAAATAAATAAAACAGCTTCTTTATCAAGCTGTGTGATCTGGCGATCAGAGTTTGGACCTTACAGTTTTCTCCAGCTACCTGCGTTAAGCTAAAGAAAGAAAAACGGAATTTCTTCTTTCCAAAATTGCAAACCTGAATCACTTAGCAGAGTTGGGAATTATCCCAACAGCTCTACAACGTTCAAAAGTTTTCAACTCTGGATGTCCTTTGACAATGGAGGCAACGTATTTGCCTTAGCCTGCTTGTTTATCCTTTCTCAAACAATGGGCTCATTGACCAGGCCTGAGCCACATTACTGAAACTGTAGTTGGCTCAATAACTTGGTTCTGCCATCTAGCTTGGGGAATTGTGTGTTTCTTTTGAGTCTGTTTTGAATCCAGGTGGACTCCTGGCTTGCAGAGTCTCGGGAGTTTGGAAGTGGTTTGCCATTTCCTCCTACCTAGGGCTGGAAGAGAGTGGCTGGCTTAAAGTGGGATTAGAACTCAGCTTCCTGGCTTCTAGTTGGTTGCTTTCACCATGACAGCTCTGCTCTGGTGGCGAGAATCCTGCTATATGGCTATATTGTTGTGCTTTTTATGATTTTAATAGCTTAATTGCTTTGGATGTGTGTTGATCGTCTTTGTTGTATGAATTGGGTTCTTTGGGAGATAATTTTTTTTGCACGTTGAGCCTATGTAAGATAGCTCAGCTGTTAAAACTTAGAGCATCAAACCTATAAGCCAATTACCTGGATTCACACCGCTGAGTGGAAGCACGTTAAGTTGGAAACATGTACGGCCCCCATGGCTACGTGGCATTTTCCTTAAAAAGTCACCCAAATCTAACCATTTACCTTCAACTCGTGTAAAAATAAGGAAGGGATCGACATGTTCACCTACAATCTGGGTCACCAATTGACTCTCCAACCTTCTGCCCTTAGGGGACCAGTTCACAAGTTCAGCTCTTAAAAAAAAAGGCTGGTTTTAGGAAAAGGAAAGACGCACGAAGCTTTTTCCAAAATACGAAACTCGTGTCGGGCCATCGATAGCTCCCAAGAAGAAGAATCCTGCTTAAATAAGCAAAGATAAAAGCCGCAGAATTATGATCCAAATCAGAAGAGAACGAAATTTCCCACATGGATTTTTATATGCTGGAACCTAAGAATTTGGATGTAAGATGAACTTTTGAGCGCTTTATGGCTTATTTAGGCAGGAGTTTCTCTTAGCAGGGATTTTTTTGCGTCCGAGTCACCTCTTTCTCCCCAAAATATCCAGCTTTCCTGCCCTGTCCGCAGAGGGTCCAAACTCTTGGGAGGGGGGTATGGCCTTTACCAGCTAGAAGTTGCCATATATGGCTGCAGCCTCCCAACGTGATGTGTGTGTGTGTGTGTGTGTTTGTGTGAGCCACCCTCATTTCTAAGGTGATGTATGTTTCGCTCCTTCCCTTTTACATAAGCTCTGGAGAATGTGGAAAGCAAAATATAATCGCTCACCAGTCAAAAATCTGTCTCTTCCCACACGCTGGCTTTGCAAACAGCACCAGGTTGTTTCCTCCTGCGATACATGAGTGCAAAAAAAAACACATCAAAGCAGCCCAGGCTCTGCTTTCTCTGGCCTTCGCCCCAGCCACATGCTTTCCCATGCTTAGGAGCCGTGTTCTGCAAAGCCCAACAGATGAGCTTGGCCAGACGCTCTACGCCAGAAGCTAACCTCTCTGGGCTACGTCCGCCAACCCGGCTAAGCGGAAGAATATTTGAGTGGAGGGGTCCACGCCATCCTCTGAACTGAGCCCACAGCCTATCCGGGGTTTGCCAAATCTCTTGAGCCGCCCTTGGACCATCAAGTGAAGGCTTGAGGGGTCCTTCAAGAGGGATTATCTCCTCCAACTTCCTTCCTCTTCCAGCCACCAGCTCTGATCTTCTCTCTCTGGGTCTCGCACACATACACAACCCTCTCAGGCCACAAACCAGGCCAGTTGCGCTTCAATTTTGGCCCAGCGCGCAAACCAACAGCCGGTTTGATGAGCCCATTGCAGGGTTGGGCCAGAGGAAGCCCCAAACCAGGTTGCATTAAGCAAGAAATGTCAATTAAGTCAAAGCAGCAGCGACGAGCTGGAGAAATGGGTTCAGAAACAGCAAAGTTGGCCTTGGTTCCTTTCCGGATGGGAGGCCACAGAGAAATTTCACGCTTCGTAAAACTAGCAGCTTATCCAAGCGGAGACTTGGAACTCTTGCTGGGGGAAAAAAAAAAAAAACGAGAGATGTTTCCTTATTTAGTTCTTTGGAATCGGTTAATTAGGGTCACTTCCTTCTGAGCACGTTTTGCAATAAACAAACTGGGAAGCTTCTCACCTCCCTCCTTTCTTCAGTTTTCAACATTTCCAAATAAAGCTTTTTTCTCAGCTGTAGCTGCTTCATCAGTGACTAATAAAACAGCCTCTTCCAAGACACCCCAACTGGGGCTGGGCTCTTGTTTGGAGAGCAAGCCAAATCTTCATTTATCTCCCACTCCATTATCCCAGGCAGACAGGGAAACGTGCCCAGAAAATCCCAGCCATCTCAGCCGTGCTCGGCATTTGGATGGAGCCATTTCGTTTGAAAGCTCCCTAAATCTTCCTAAACGTCCCACATCGTGTCTTTCCTCCCCGCTTGTCGCCCCCGTCTCTTCCTAAGAGCCCCCTTTTCCCGCTTATGCGGCAAAAGGGTTATTTCTAAAAGAGGATGAAGACCGAGCTCCTTGCTTGAGAAATAGGGGGTTTCCAGTGAAGAAATCTTTGCCATTTTCCCTTGAGTGATTGCTATAAAAATGTCCAACTAGGTTAGCAAGCAGACTCTTAAACCCTTTAAGCCGATAATCCTTTAGAGCTGTGCTGCTTAACCTTAGCGATGTTAAGATGAGTGGACGTCCAACTCCCAGAATTCCCCAGCCACCACGCAGACCACTCGGGAACAGGATGAAATGTTGACCAAACAATCCAGGTTTGGTCCAGCTCCTCTTACGAGACAGTATTAAAGCTGTCAGGAAATGTTTTTATATGGGAACAAAGTGGGAAATACGGGAAGACAAGGTGAAGTTAACGAAGCGTGGCAAAGAAAAATTAGGGGAAGGACGTTTTGTTTCCGGTTTCAAAATCCTGCAATCTTGATTAGCTGAGAAGGCTGGATTTGGGATGGAAGGAAAGGAAAGGAAAGGAAAGGAAAGGAAAGGAAAGGAAAGGAAAGGAAAGGAAAGGAAAGGAAAGGAAAGGAAAGGAAGGAAAGAGAGGGAGGGAAAGGAAGGGAGGAAGATGGCGAGTGAG